CACCTCAATCCATTTAACACAAATAGAAATAGTTTTCTTGGCAATCTAATACGTGATACGTGTGGACATAGCTCGTCATTGTGAATGATTGGTTAATGGTGCTGTGAGAATGAGTCAATCGTAGATGTGTGTTTAAGGGTTTAGGTGGAATACAATAAACTCTTCTTTCTATTGTGATGCAAACAGTTTACAAACCCCAAACAGAAATGACTGTCTTGTCAAGCTTTCACTCGGGTAATGTTCTGGCACTAACACTAGATTTGAAGGTGTTAGTGCCAGAAATTTGGGTTGAAGACGAATTACCCTCAAATGTTTCTTTATCTCTTGCTTTGTCTGGATATAGATTGATGCCAGACTGTACAATATTTGTTTTTCTCTGCATGTCATTTCTTTCTCTCAGGCCCTAGTGACATACAGAGATTGGCATGGAAGTGTTAAAAATGCTTAAAAAATAAATAAATATATATATATATATATATATATATATATATATATATATATATATATATATATATATCTGAATGAAACAGCAGATCTATGATAATGAATTTTCAATATATTTGTTAGTAAAATAACAAAAACATACATACATTAATTAATGAAAAGTTTGTATGTCGCCTAAGTACCTATTTATATATTTATGCATTAAATCATGCACATATACATACATACAGACATACACTGTATGTACATACAAAAAGAAATACACACATACATACATAGCCTAGATAAATAAATGGGTGCATGAAACCCTTGTAAACTGAGGAATGAGGCAAAAAAATTCTCTCACAGATGTGACACTTACTTTGAACCTGAAATATTCGGGGAGAACTTTGAATCAGAGCACAGAACGATGTGATGAGATGGGCTTTTGGAAGCAAAAGTGAAAGGCTCCGTCAACTTACTATGAATATAGATTACCATTAATATCAAAACCTAATTATACCTTTAAGCTCTGCTGCCAACTGCCTCGGCAAAGCTGTGCAGAGAGAACAAACAGACCCAACATCAACTCACAATGAAGCCTTACTTCAGCATAACTTGACAAGCTAATGCCTCTAAGGCTGAATAAAGAAAACCAAATGAGCCCTTCATCTTCACTGACCAGAGACTGGAATATTTTTGAAAAAGAATTGAGTAAAAAAGTCTTTTAAACTATAAACGCCATTGTGGCCTCCTGACAGACCCCCAGGCATCAGAACTAACCTGGCGGCCATGTCGTAAATCACATAATGAAGTATTTCGCCATCTTTGCTGTTTAATCCTGTTCTCAGAGAGGAAACAGCCAGCAGTAGCCTACAAAAAACAGACAAAACACTCTCTCCTGTAGACATAGAGTTTAACCTGCCCCGCAACAATGAAACTACACCTACAAAGAACCTTTCATTCTTCACTTCAGTGCGTATATTTATCTCACCCTTTCTCGGTCCCCAAAGTGTTTTTGTCATTCGCAGTCTCCTTGCAGGCATTTATCTCCGGGTCACGTAGAATGAGACTAACCCTGGACTCAGGCCAAGCACAAGAGTGCAGAGGGGTGAGAGAAACGTCATGACTGTGTAGTAGGTATTTGATCATCGTGAAATTATTCCGCTTTTTTCATTGGTGTATGTGATATAAATGTTTGTTGCGAAATTATTGGGGTTTGCAACTTGCATACAAAGATCGCATGGGTGTAACTTGTCTGAATGCTGACACTGACAGAATAGATTCTGTCAATAAATGTGAGACGTCAGTAAATGCTGCCCCCATGAGGTAGTTTGTGTTAATGTATCATGGTTTCCTCATAATTTAGAGGTGCACTGCTTTAAAAAAGTTATTTGAAAATAATTTACACTCACATGAGATGATTCTAGTATTTTAAAATCAAATTTTACATCATGGGGATAAACATCTTGAGATCACATGACCAGTCAGGATTCAGGGTATTTGAAAGAAGGAACCATCTGCAACTATGAACATAGTTATTAATTCATATATGTAACATCACATTGAAATTTTCAAGAACATTGTAGGCCTATATTGGGGTCACACTTTTTACTACAGTAACATTTTCTGACGGTAGCCAACTTATGCATAACCAAAACATTTAAAGGACCAAAACATAATGTAATTATAATTTACAGTAGCTACAACATAAAACACAAATGTGACAACTTACTTCATCCTGACATTTATGACAAATACCACTTGACTATTGTTGAGTGTTGACTGTTGCCTGATCATATATATCATTGTTTGATTTTATTGTGTTTGCTTGATTGCTCGACAGTATAAAATATGATATTGGACCAAATGATTCAAATTTAAGTGTTTGAAACCAACATAAAAATCCCTGCAAGAGAACACACACACAGTTTAATTAGACCTCTGAATCAAAACCTAGTTATTAATGTTACAACTTACCGGAGACAACTAGTGCTAACTATAAAGAGGTATTTTAAAGCTTGTTTTGTCTTATTTTAAATAGGCTATGTGAATCGAATAAAGAATGATTTGTGTCAGTGACATTATTTACTCATTGACATAAAAAAAAAATTAAGATAACTAATTCATTTATTATTACATTTCCCAACATAGGAAAAACTGCTGGGAAAATAGATTAGATTTCTGTCATGTGCATATAACAGGCCTATGTCTGAATACTTGTAGCCTACACACACTTACACTCCTCACAGATCAATGCATCATTCAAACAGACAGAGATCACGATCCCATTTTGCTAAATGTGTGGAACGTCATCAGCCGGGTCTCTCTCAGACACATTATACTGATGAGGCTGTGGGGGGCTAAAGACACACAGCGAGATGTGTATTAACTGTCAGAAGGAGTGATTTTATGAACATGAGCGTGAGAGAGAGAGAGAGAGCAAGAAATATGTTTACAAGAATATTTTGCTCAAAATGATAGGCCTAATTCTGTATAGCCTACTCACTTTCGAGTTGTTTCTAGTCCATACACCGTTTTAACCCTATGCAATAGAAAAGTAGATTTTTTTTAAGAATTGCAGGTACTTGTAGTCTATGCAGCATGTCAAGATCCATAAAGGGACAAAATAATAATAATAATAATAATAATAATTGTCCTTACTCCTGTCCTGACCTATCATATTGTTTCATAAGGCTCGGAAATGCTCATTAGAATTGAAAATATGCAGATTTTAATTAAACATAGGTCAACAACAGGCATTACAATGATTGTGAGAGAGTTTGTGTATGATAGTGCTGTAGGAGGAGCTCAACTTTGCCTGGAAAAATATGGATGGAGAGATCCAATTTTCCAGCTGAGAGGAAGAGAGAAAGGTTCAACAGTGAAGCAGGTTTTGCAGTGTTTGTAGACTTAATTCAGTCTGAAAAACAAACTTAAGAGACAACTGCGTCATCGTCTTGACAATAATAGTGTTTATTGAAAACTGCAATACATTAAAGCAAACCAACAGATGGCAGTGTTTGAGACTTAAATTGATAGTTTAGGTTTAATGATGTGTTTATGCTAGTTGGCCTAGTTCTCTCTCTCATAGAGGATTTAAACACAGGTCAATGCACAAATCCTTTGAGTTTATACTCTTTAAAGGTGAGGGGTGAGATTTCTGGGCCACTAAGGGTAATTCTATGAAATTGCATACATAAACAAACAAATATCGCCAAATGAGCCATTATTGAGTTGCATGTTGATGTTCTGGTTGAAAGAAAACATTTCACATTAAAACATTATATATAAAATTACTCACTTCACCTTTAAGAATCATCTCTGATTAAATGAGTCAAAGTGCGATTTCCATTAACCTGGTAAAGGAACATATACAGGATGGAATTTATGAAAATTAACAAATAATAATCATTAACATTGTAAGTATTTGCTCTACATAATTTAAGGGGGAAAAAATATTTATTCTCCCAACTCAACAACTTGAAATTACTTCCCAATAATGTACTGAGGATTCGTTATATAGTGATCATTTGACATACTCGCACTTTTGTTTTACCAGTTAATCCACATATACAGCTAGAATGTTTTTCTCTCGTTTCAGCATATTTTGTGCATATATTATGTCTCTCAGTTCCACTGTATTTGTTGTGACTGTAATGACTCCTGTAAATTGTTGAATGTGGCCTGATCTTTCTGTTGAGCAGAATCCAAATGTCACCTGAACAAATTTGAAGTTTGATTTAATCCTTAACAAACTTTCAAAATAGTACCTCACCTGAAATTGGTCATTATGAAATTATTTCAAAACTGAACATAATCTCAGATGATAATCTCACGTGACCCCATGTTTGACACGTCCCAATTACAGCTATAAGACCACTTTCTTTTAACATCGAGACCTAATCGGGGATAAGCTTCACTTGCATGATTTCCCACCACTCCCAAATATCCTGTGACCAAAAGGGAAGATAAGTGTGAAAAGAGAAGCGCACAGCTTTGTTTGACACATTCTGTACCTGCTCAAGGACGTTCTGTATTCTTCAACTCTTCACCGGATATGCAGCAGAAGTCCAGGTTACCTGCCAAGAAGTTAAGCTGAGCAGCTTACTGTCTTTATCAGATCAGGTGTGTTTATGGGCTTGTCGGAAAACCAAAATACCCAAAGAAAGTCGCCCTCTACATGGCCTTATCATTTCCCATAGTATTCTCAATGCTAAAAATTCTGCTTCTTTCCTAAAAGCATTACAGAATTGTTCGTGTGGATGACTTATCTTGATGACTTTTCAAATGAATCTAGCAGTTATGTGGCTTTTCTATGTTTTTGTTAACATGTGATGTTATCAGTGTGTGAGGTATTTCATGCACAACACTTTTTAAATACAGACCATATGATGAAACCAAAACTCACCAGACCTACTATTCAGATTCACTGCCATGTGCCATGCACAACGAACACCATATGAACGCAATAATCACATAATTCTCTGCTGATCTCATTGGATAAGGCATGCCTCCCATAGAGGTCCCAGAATGCCCTGCACACCTGATCTCAGCAAATGACTGGACAACAGAAATCTTTACAATTAAACAAGTTTTATTCACAATAATAATCACTACGCACCAAACACTGTCCTAGAGTAGTCAACTTTTTCTTAGAATTAAATTGTATTTTTACAAAAGGAAAATATTTATTTGTAATAATTCTACACTATTTACATAGACACATAATTTGAATTAAAATAAAATAATTACAAAAAATTACAGGTTTGAGCATAGAGTTTGAGTCTCTGGCCTGGGACGTTTGGTGGAGTGATTGTGCGGATGTAAAAGCACAGGAGCTCCCAGGCAGTGGGAATGCAGAAGTCACAGGTCAGGGTTTAGCTGCCAGTCTTAAGCTGTCTCCTCAACTCCAGGGGACTTCTCAAGCATCCCCTAACCCTGGACCTGGTTATTCCTCTGTACCATAGCACACATCGGGGTCTCCTAAACCTGCAAAATCAGCCTCTCCTTTCAGTGCTGTTGAAATCAGGTATGTTATCTGATGCTGAACATGTGCACAAAGCATCATCAGACAGGTCACAAAAATATATATATATATATATTTTAAACTGATTTTTATACCCCTTTCTCAAATCACAACCCTGGTACTTTTTTATTATTATAAAGCATTAGTTTAAAATAAAACAAAACTAACTTCTTGTCTCCCCATCCATCTGTCAAGTATGTGGAAAAGACACCTGTCTAAAAATGTGTTTTCTTTGCATTTGCCATACCTGTCCCATGACAAATTGTGTTGTTTATTCCTAATAAATAAAAGTACTGACGGTACATATTTTTACCGTTCACACTATGCCAAATCCGTGACTAGCCATTCTTAGGTTGAATATCAACTCATAAATAAAACAAAATATGACTATAAAAATTACTATAAAAACGTTTACATTTTTGTGTAGCAAAGTACAAAGTCAAAGGGGAAAGCGAAGCTGGTAAAATTACAATTTGATTATGTTATATTATATTTAAAGCCCCTATTTACAAGCCAATCATTTGTATACTAGTAAGTGTTTTCACCATTATATTGGTTTCTAGTATACCAACTTATTTATAGGAATGTAAATAACTGACAATATTTACATTGTATTGTATTTGGATTTTTCGTTTTTCTTCACCAGTTCTTCATTAACTGGCTTAGTCTACACTTTGTGTAGTGTGGATGATATAGTTACAGTTTTAGGCTGTGTCCCACAGCTCTCTACCTCAGCTCTGTAGGTGTGGCCAAAGTTTAGTGGGCGGGGTTAGCTCAGCTCGCAGCGGCAGCAGCCTCTTCATTTGCCCCCTCGTCCACTTGATTGCCTTTGCCCATGGCCTTCATCTTAGCCATGATATCAGTGAAGGTCTCTTTGACGGTTTTCTCCAGGATCCAGCCCTCGCTCTCACTCTCAGGGTCTTCTGGGTTGACCAGCGTGGACAGAGAGGTGTTTATGTACTGAAGTCCAATCATTACAGCAGTCTAAAGACAAGCATGAAAGATATGAGTTAGATAGCAGTAAAGAGTGATATGTTTATTCATATTTAACATATGTCCAGGCTACATTTCACAGATATAGATAGATAGATAGATAGATAGATAGATAGATAGATAGATAGATAGATAGATAGATAGATAGATAGATAGATAGATAGATAGATAGATAGATAGATAGATAGATAGATAGCCATGATGTATATATACTTGACAAAAATAAGCAACCCCTTACACACATCTTTACAGTATATGTATGCGTGTGTGTGTGTGTGTATTTAAAATTATAATGGATGGAATGTTCTATATCTTTAATTGGTGATTTAAATATCACCCTTTCCAAGAAAGCAAGATTTAACTCTGCCCTGCCGATTAGAACATTTGATCCCTGTGAATCTTCAGTCACCACACCATCTCACACTCCTAATCTCCACCAACCCTAGTTTAAGTTCTGGTTGTTGCTACAGACTGTTGTAAGCTTGGCAGAATTTGTTTAAATCAATGATTATTTCCATGTGTCCATTAATACAAAAAAAAATCACAAAAAAAATGTGTTACAATTTTTACAAAAATGTATCATCCATTTTTTTCTTCAAATTTAGTTTATTTTTTCTTCTTTTTTTTTCTTCAGGTAAATATTAAGTCAAATAAATGATTATTAATATTATTTACCAATCTTTTTAAAAAATAGATCAGGTAAAAATAGCTCTTTAAGGTATCGAATGCGAATTCCAGAGACATGTATTTTAATTTATCCCAGCAGGTAAATCGATATTTCAGAACTACTACAAGGTAATCAGAAGAGTTATCATATTTGTTAATACCCAAGTCAGTTAGATGTTTTCCCTGATGGTGCCATATTAGATGATTGATTGAGGGAATGAGGCTTCTTTCCAGTTGCGTAGGTTTGATTTTGAAATTGGTGGGGACGGGGACATCAATATATAAATATATTTTAAGTTTTGATCGAAATTATTGCTAGGGATATATCAATGTCACTGGATATTGGTAGGGACGCGTCCCTAGCATCCCTCCTCTGCTTCTGTCATTTAACATGGTATGACACCATAAAGATATACAATTACTCCTCTAACTAACCTTTACTTTTGCACCTTTGGGTATTGTCTGATAAGACGGACAGGGTCCTCAAATCTGTAGCCAAAACAATGTGTAGTTATAATTTACCTTATTAGGGGGCAAACAACAAAAACCCCTTATGATGTCTATTTACAAGATTAAGTATCTAGACTGGACAAAACATTCCTTAAGTACTGATCATACATCAGTCTGACCTTTACAGCACAATCCAGTAAGATTAGAGGTACGTAATGCAAGTCATTAAGGTCTGATCCTGGATCAGCACATTAAGATATTTCAAAGCCAAATATCTTACTTGCAAGAGGGTGACCGCCAACACAAGTATCCCAATAGAGTTCATCATTCCACCATAGTATGATACAAGAGCGTCTCGGCAGCCACGTTTCCAGATGTTTAGTTCTTCGGTGTAGTGGTCATAGCTGTAGTGAGCCGAGTTGTTGGTTACTTGTTGCTGGATGCAGGGCCGTGGCGAGCTAGGGTTGCAACAGCTGAAGGGAACGCCATCCATTAGGTATTTTCCATCCACATTGCTGCTGATTCGACTAAAGACACACAAACACAAAAAAAAATTTCAACATAAAATTCATTACACATTCGTGTCTCACATTCGAAAGCTGAGATGATTGAAAGCTGTGAATGGTGACAAAATAAGCAACTTCCACAAAATTATACATTGTAACTTCCTTTTTATTGTTATCGATAAAATTTAATTTATTGAAATGAATTTATAGAATAATTTTAATCACTTTGTGAAACTTTTAATAGACTTAGAGCTAACCTTATAGGTTAGGTGTTAATCATCAAAAACCTCTGTGATGAAAATATCACACACTCTGATATCAAGGCTAGTAATTTCAATGTCTATTCCAAGCCAATCTACCAGGTATTGAACTGATTGAAAGGGACAGTAAGCTCTGAGGGCAAGAAAATGTGATCCAAGAAGATTAGTGACTAAATCTAAACGGGTTAACATACCTGATACCACTTACACTGCACATTGACCCCTGCAAATCACCCAATCCCTAGCCTCACTTCAAACTAGCCAAATAACTCCACAAACAGCATAAAAACAGGCATTCTAAAACATTCACTGTTTTTGATCCTTTAAAAGTGCCAAACATCTTAAATTAAACTTCTAAGATCATTATCTAACAGTCTAAACTGTATCTGAACAAATTTGATTGAAAAGGAATGAATGTTTACGCATCACCCAATCATTAAGCCGCAAAAGGACACTCACTCTTTGACTTCCTTGGAGCTGAAGTCCAGGTAACGGTTGCTCACCCATTGGATCTCGAACCAATCTTTGTAGTTGTTGTTGCCACAGCAACGGAACTCTATCTGCATGAGATCCAGAGTTCTCTTCATGTAGCAGCGACCGGGTGTGTCGGTGTCCTTGTAGAACTTCATTCCATTTTTCAGGCCCTCGGCAAGTGTAAACTCAAGAGGAATGCGCATGGCAAAGCACAGAACCGCCGTGAGGATGAGGAGGAAGTTGAAGAACACACAACAAATGAGAAAGGGGTGCAAAATGGACTTCCATTTCGCAAACTTGGTGGAGTCGAGCGAGTCATAGCAGATTTTGCCCCCAAAGGCATTGAGAAAACAAGCTAAAAGACCCACACCGATTAGAATGTTGGGTACAAAATGACTTTCATTGTTGTCCATAAGTTCACTTCTCTTGCGAAGTTCGATTTTAAAGAAAAGTCCCATGCTGAAGACAAGAACACTGGCCATAACAGAAAACCAGTACATCAGCCATAGCATCTGGGCCAGCTTCACCCGTTTCTTCAGGTCAAACTTTACCTTCATGAGAGCCATGTTGAACAACTAGTTAAAGTCCAAAGAAAGAAGAAAAAAACAGAGTCTGATGATCTCCAAAGATGTACCTTACAGAAGCTGAACGTTGAAAGTACGTTCAAGGCGCAATGTGTAATCCATTCCAGCAGAGCGAGAACTTAACAGCGATTTTCATGATGATCTTTGCATCCATAATAGACAAAATCCAGATTCTTTTACAGGTAAATGCCAGTGTAATACATTATCTTCTTCACAATCTTAAAAGTGGATTGTCATCTACAATACTTAAAAACAACAGTGTGCCCTGGTACTGACGCAAATAGTGGTGTCCCTCTATCTGCAAAGGGAGGACAAAAGCCAAGGATCCAAATGATTAAACACAAAGTTACTGTACGTCATCCTAAACCCAGCTAATCACCCTCATCCCATTTACAGAAATCCCTGGCCAGCAGATGAGCCTATCTGTAAGCTGCTGCCGTGCCGTGTGATTGGCTTGATCGGTCACATGGTTTGACTGGCATGACTAAAGAGACACCAAAAACCAGGAAGCAAAGATTTAAGACCATTACACTTCCACTTCAAGTGTCTTAGAGTTAATGGAAAACAAGCAAGCCACTGTTTGAGGGGATCTCTACATTTCTCAAAGTTCAAATATTCGTGGAACCAATGATAGTCAAAAACACTGACACTTTACAATTAGGTCTCATTTGTTAACGTTAGTTAATGCATTAGCTAGCATGAATTACAATGAGCAATATGATTTTATGGAATTTATTAAGTTTTGTTATTTAATAAAAGCAAATGTTCATATTAGTTCAGTTCATAGTGCATAAACTAACATTAAGATACAACTAAAGTTATACAACTTTTTGGTTCTAAAAAAAGTATAGTTCATTGTTGGTTCATGTTAACCAATGTACAGGAGAAACTCGAAAAATTAATATCGTGCAAAGGTTCACAGTAATTCAACTTAAAAGGTGAAACTAATATACTATATAGACTCATTACATGGAAAATAAGATATTTCAAGCCTTTATTTGTTATAATTTTGATGATTATGGCTGTGAAAACCTTTCCACAATATTCCACAATTCTAATTTTGGGGTTTTCATAAGCTGTAAGCCATGATCATCAAAATTATAACAAATAAAGGCTTGAAATATCTTACTTTGCATGTAATGAGTCTAATCTCACCTTTTAAATTGAATTACTGAAATAAATGAACTTTTACACGATATTCTAATTTTTCGAGTTTCACCTGTAGTTTAGTAGTTTACAAATAAGACTTTATTGTAAAGTTTAATAAAGTAAAAAGATGACTTGTCTACACAACAAATGCATATGTAGATAATAATTGTATTTATATCAAAAACTAGAGCCTATAAATCTGAATATAGCAGTCCAATTAATGCATAACTACAACTATATTTAATTTGTTATCATTTAAGTGTTAACTTAAAACCTTCATTTGTATACATTGTTTTGCACATAATGCACAAAAATTATTGCACTTTTTCAATAAATCTTGTTTTCAGAAAATTACTGAAATTTGTTACCAAACAAAAGACATTATATATGTATAAATGAGTAACAGAATTAAAGGGATAGTTCACCCAAAAATGAAAACTCACCCTCATGTTGTTCCCTGTAAGACTTTTGTTCATCTTCGGAACACAAATGAAGATATTTTTGATGTAATCTGAGAGCTGCATCACTCCTCCTTTGGCTTCTAAAGGGATTGAAACTTGCCGACCCAGAAAAGTTATTGAAGACATCGTTAAAATATTCCAAATGACTACAGTGGCTCAATCTTAAGTTTATCAAGCGTCGAGAATACTTTAAAACCTAAAAGCGTTGCGTAGTTTCACTACGTGAAATCTCGAGGCCAACAGAGAAGGAAATTAATAGTTGAATAAAGTCATTATTTTTGTTTGTTTTTGCGCACAAAAAGTATTCTCGCCACTTGATTAACTTAAGATTGAGCCACTGTAGTTCTGTCAACCCCCATGTTCTCCCAAACCTTTGTATAACTATCTTTCTTCAGCAGAACATAAAATTAGATATTTAAAAGAATGTTGGTGTATGGACAATTTGGTGACCATTGACTTCCATTGTATGGAGAGAAATAAAAAACAAAAAAAATTATTATGTTTCACAAAAAAAAAAACTAAAGTTTTGGAACGACGTTGACGTGAGCATGATGAGACAGATATTTCACTTTTCTGTGAACTGCCCCTTTAATGATGATTTCATTCAGTGTTAAATGTCATGTTGAGTAAACTACCACAGATTTGATAAGACTTTTTATTTTCTTACGGCATTATTTTAATACATCATTCAATTAATTAATTCGCTTTGTAAGTATGGAACTGGTGAACATTTAATTTTTAGTGCATCTCAATATTAGCATCATATTTACTGAGCACACAATAATGTAATCACATCAAAGTTTATTTAGATGGTCCCACAAAGTCCCAACTACTTATTCTCTCAGTCTCAGGAATGACAGTCCAGTTGGGTGAAGGTGTGCCAGCAGCAAGCCAATTGAAATCATCCACATCCGTCCAATTGTTTCGATCTGGATCAAGTCCGGCTACTTTGAAATGATCATGAATGCCTGGATAGGTCCACGTGAATGGTGCAAACCTGACCTCACGACAATCCTCTATTATTGCCCGGCTGGTCACATGGACATATATCTGAGTGGCAGTGGTGTTATGGGTGCGCAGCTGCTGACAGGGGAACACTAAAGTGCTGTCAGTACACTGGTCAACAAACACAGAGCTGGACACTGGCCCGCAGAGGATCTCGCAGCTCCGGACATTCTTGATGTGCAGGGTGCTCGGACAGCCATAAAGTCTCACTTTACAGTTAGTCAGATGAGATAACAGAACATCTTGTTGCTGGATCTCATCAGCTTGCATGATCAGGACTTGATTTTCAGCATTAGAGTATCCACACTTGTATACAGAGATAGCAGCATCCACTACTACAGTACCACCAACATCAGATGCAGCCTTATCTGGTGTTTGTTTACACGGTTCAGGCTGCTTGCTTGCTACGGCATTCCTGGATCTGAAAGCGAATTTCTTTTTAGGCAACACCATGTCCCTCTTCTCATCAAGAGAGCTCTGGAGTTTCTGCATGGATTGCTGTGCCTTTCTTATATCATATTGGGTTAGAAACAGCACGCTGTCGTTGAGAAATTTCTTGAGCTGTTGAATTCTCACAGTGGCCTCCTCCAGTGTTTTTGCGGCTTTGTCGCGGTCACTGAGGTTTGGGCTGGAGAGCATCTCCTCGATTGCCGTCTTCTCAGCATTAAAGGTGGACGTGAAAAAAACGCTCTTTTCTTCCTTCACGGTCTGGCTCTCCTTGACATTTCTCCGGCACTCTGCCTCTTCCAGCCGCGCTTGATCTCTTCGTAACACGCTTTCGGGAATATTGACAGCTGTATTTGTTTCTCCGTCATCATTCGCCACAATAACTTTCACTCCTAGTGCCGCCATGTTGCTTCTCTAAAGAGGTGTGGTAATTGCGTATGTATAACGTGACAACTCGTCTAAGCATGCTGATCAATGATTGGACAAAAAAATGTTACCATTAGTAACGCGACTTTCTATTGGCTCATTAAATGTTCACGTTCAGAATTAACTGTTTTCCCACACATCTTTTTGTGGGAATTATTTATAACTTTGTTTAGCCTCCATATATATTTAGACCACTTTACGCTATAATATTTGTATTTGACTCACATTTTAATTAAATTATTTATGTAATATTTATTTTATCTATTAAAGGTGATGTTTATCGTGACTGTTGCACAGTTTGCCAACTGTTTTTTTTTTCTTCTTTTGATATAGCCTATCTAACAATTAATATTGATTTTATATTAAATTTCGTACGTAATCACTGTATGCACTATGGACATAATCAGCGCATTAAAGTGCATTGTAGTTTTGAATTTCAGTTTTTACTTGTTTAATTTCCTTTAAATTAAGTCAAATAATTTAGCCATAAGTTTAGTTTCAAAGTCGTTTGATCAGTTTTCTAGTTTTGTCATAGTATTCGAAATTATTTAAACACAAAATAAACTTATCTTAGTTCGTTTTGAAGTGATGAAAATGTAGGCTATTGTTTGTCAGTAAATGTTAGTTTTATTTTAAGTTTTCAATGTTTTAATTTAGTTTCATAAATGATAACATTGACATGCTTTCTGTAACAATCTCATAATTAGCATACAGTATAAAAAATAAAGCTAAAAATAAAAATAAATCAGAAGGATCCAATGATACATTTCTTATTTTGCTTCAGGTTCACACTTTTGGGTGATATTATCTCAGGACACAAAGGTGTTGTCAATGAAAAAAAAATGTAATTGATGTTAAACATTATTATAATATCGGTATATCAACTGAAATGACAGTAAACCCTCTTTAACTTGTTAAAAAAATGATCTATCATCTCTAAAATACTTATCTAATTGAAGATAATCAACCCCTTGGTAAATTGTATAAAGTTATGTATGAGTCAATTTCCTTTTAATATTTTGTACATCCTTTCATTTTTTTATTTATTTAATGTTTTATTAAATTATTTTTTCCCTTGCCTTCAGTTTTGGAATCAGGTTGGAATATTATTTTATATATATATATATATATATATATATATATATATATATATATTAACATGATGCATCCGTTTAAGCACACACACAAAATGATATACAAATTGCGATTTATCTACATGTTATTTTTGGGTATATTTTCATATGCATATTAATGTTCCCAATTCTAGTTTATAATTTTTTTTTTTTAAAGGTGTGGTCCACAAGTGCCCCGCCCCCCATAACAAACACTGTATTTTATTCTGTTCATGCTTGTCAGGCATTAGAAGTGATCAATCAAAACAGCAGCTTTTATTTATATTTTGCAGAAGATACAGAAGAAGCCTTTACAGTAGTAAACAAACATAATAAGAAACCCCTCTGGTTTCAAGTAAAGAGCCCTTGGTGTCTAGTGCACTATGTAGAGATGCTGCCTTCTGCTGGAGCCGCACTGCTCCACCGGCCCGTGCAGAGATGGCGAGGAAACCCCGTGGACACGGCACTGCTTTTTCATGACGGTGAGTTTCCCCTTTGAGTGTATTATAATTTTGTGATAAAAATTTCAAGGAAAAAACACACACAACCTCCTTCCTCCCCTTCCTTCGGGGAGGGAAGAGCAAGCGTGGAGAGAGAAAAATCTATCTGAGACTGAGCAGCAAGGACAGTGAGGGAAAAATATATGAGTGGGAGAGAGGGAGACAGAAGAAGAAGGAGGAGGAGGAGGAGGAGGAGGGGGAGCAAATTAAAAGTTGCCAAATGGAGATATTGGGTTTCAAGAGGAGTGAGACAGGAGTAAGGGTTTGCCTCTTTTTCAAGTCGTCTTTATGTGATGCAAATTCAAATAAATATTTATGCTTCGCCAACGAATTGTTCTCCGTTCGGTTTTTCCTCGACGAATTCAGCCGTTTCTTAATAGGTGTGGGGAAGGTCCACGACGTCAGGAAGGCCGTCGACAACTCGGAGCACGAAGAATGCATAAGACTCGCCTGATGATCCGCGTTTACACCCTTCACCAAACCTAAGACATCCGTGCCAGTATTAAACGAGCCGCCCGATGCCGATTACGCGTTTCTTTTTGCCGCCCGTATAAGCTGCGCTCGTCGGCTGTCACAGATCCGCAAATACGCATCGTAGAAAGGCTTTTTTCGAGACGTGCGATAAAACGAGTCTCTCCAGCCTCTTTCTATTTATGGACAAAGTCCCTGTGTGTTTCTAGCTGCTACTTTCAGCGAGATTAAGGCGGGTTTTGTGCGTCCTGCCCTTGCGCCATGGAGAGCCTTTTTAGTCCACCCTGTTTGACAAGTGAATCAGTAAAATGCGTCGCCTTGCTTCAACAGGGTTTTACTCTGTATTTTGAGGGGTTGCTGGTTTTCTACGTGTCTCTTTCCGCCCCTTTGACTTATCAGGCTAAGAGGATAGATATTTTTTTTCCTCTGGTAGAGAGGAAGAAAAAATAATTCATCTCCTCCCTCATTTGGTTTGCTTGCTAAGTTGACTAAGTCAACAGCCTTAATGAATAGCTATAAGTGTTAAATATACCTCACATCTGTAGTACATCGTTTAGTTTATTAAAACCCGTCCATTTAAATGCAAATTCAGGTTTTTATAAATATATCTTGAAGTTGTTTATCAAAGACACGTAAAAGGGCCGGATTAACCTGTCATACTTTTTTTCTTCATTAAGATTGCACTACATTACTTTAAGCTTGGACTTGCTAGTTAGAAAATGTTGTTTCAAATCTACTAATCTTATAATTCATTCGTATCTATTTAGACGATCCGTTCGGTGTGGTTATTTTTCTGTTCTTGTGTGAATGCCGTTTAATAAGAATTAATTCAATTAGCAGTTTTGGATTTCTGCAAGTTCAAGCTGTTCTTAACAACGCACGACGTCGTTTGTTTTGAAACAAAGGCAAAAATACATATCCATCGAATGCTGGTCAAACATTTAATCACTTTGGGACAGACGACGCATTTCGTTCCCTCACTAATATGTGTTATAAAGCATTAACAGAAGCTTGTGAAGTGCAGTGTGAACAATCAAACTGGCCAAACATGTTCCACCCATCCCCCACGTTTCTTCCTCTATCACATTTCCACACATGAATTTTAAAATTGTTCACATTTCTGTGGCAGCTTTACAAAAATATTATCTGAAATTACAGTCGAGTTGCATTTTTACACTGCACAAGTTCTCTGTGTCATAACGCCCTTTTGTCTGTCGACTGTCGAGCAGTGGCGCAGTTTCAGTCAGCAGCAGCCATTTTAAAGTCTACACAGGCTATCTGCAGCAAAGAGTAGCCTACAGCCATTCTTTGTCAGAATTGTGCAACATAAACATCATATTCTTGTAACACTACAATGTATATTAGACTACATTACTTTCCTTATTTTGTACTTAAACACTAAAAACAAGTTTTCTAGCTGATTAGGATGAAATTGTGTTTGTTGCAAAGTAAAAAAAATTCTGTTTACTTCACAAGAATATCAGCTATAGTTATTTTTATGTTCTGTATTTATTCTCCTCTGGAAAAAAGAATTTACCAGAGCCGGTCACACTACAAACATTCTACATTTCTAATTCTTAATTTCTGTTTGTCACAAGTTGTGTATTGGAATTGCTAACACGTAGCGTTGCGTGGGAGTCAAAATGGCCAATTTTCTTTTCAATGAAATGAATGTACCATATTTTCGTTTTTTATTTAACATTTTGTATTTTCATGGTACTAAATTATATTCGTTATAATCCATTTATTACCTGTTTACCACTTTTCATAAATGTTGAACGCTTTTGAGCATGGTTTGGTCTCTTTTTAAAGAAGACACTTAGCAGATTGAAGTTGAAAAAAATAATAATTGTATTGTCATGACAAATGCACAGACTATTTTCAAATAGTAAATGAATTATATATTTCCCAAGACATGTTTTCAAAGCAAAGCCATTGAAACAGGTTGTGTTCCACATTTGACATTGATATCTAAAAAAATATTTTTTTTATTTTTACTGGGGATCCTGACAGATTACAATGCATTGATTTTGTGTAAAACACCATGCGCACTACATTTATTGGATCCTTAGGTGTATTCATAACAAATTTATATGCAAAGTATGTCTCACAGTAGCCAAACGGCAGGGAAATTGTCCATTGTAATATCTCAAAATCTGTTACTGTCGCAGGTGTCATGGATGATGAAGACGACCGCCGTCTTCTGGATTTTTTAGGGTAATCAGCTTTATAATTTGATGGCTATGGTTAAAGAGTTACAAACAGTTTAAAATTAATATAACAAACATAAACGAGCTTTAATGAAATGTTTTATTTCAACAGAGATGTGCAAGCATTGAATGAGTATCTTCATGGTTCAAATAGTAAATCTGTAAGTATACTTACACTATGTGACATTAGTGTTTTAAGTTAAAAGATTATTGACAACTTTCTTTGACATTCAAACAGATTGGAGAAGATGATGTGACAAATGCAGCATTTGGGTCGGCCAGCTCATTCTTCACCAGTGACACCGTGAGTATAGTTAAAGTCCTTATCAAGGAAAGTCAGTTCACATGCCAGCCATTATTTGCAACGCTTCCAGGCAGTAATTTTGGTCATAAAGACTAGCTCCTATCTTGAATGGGGATAAACTGGTATTTAACATTTTTCAAATCAGCAACTAAATCTGACATGAACTGTCCTATAAATATGTTTCTTATGCTCAAGTAGCTTTAATGCGCATGTGCAGTCATGTGCCAAGTGCACGTCGACTACACGTAAATTGGGCTTAACTGTTTCTGTAGGAACAGGAGCGTATAATAACATCTGCAGTGATGTGACGACTTTACCAATTGGTGATTGGGTCTTTTATTTAGAAGGCAGGATGTTTCTTGCCATATTGTGTGTTGTACTTTCTCCCATTCATAGAAACGAGTGAACCGTCTTGATATACTGTTATACAGTCTGCTAAAGATTGCAAGCAATGGGGATACCTAGAATTGGTATTTAGTAGGAGCATCTGAACAACACCTTATTTGGTTTTCTACTCAGAGTGGCTCCAATGAAGAACTCAAAGATGGACACAATCATTTGGGAGAGTTTGGGGAGGCTGGTGGAGCTGAGCTTCAGCTCTCAAGCAGTCTTCCGTTCATCGAGGATGACCTCGACGGTGGAACCTCTCCGGATCTTAGTGGCGAGGACCAACCATTTGACATCCTCCAGAAGTCATTGCTGGAAGCAGATATCACAGAGCAGACATTGGCTCAAGAAGCCCTTTTGGACTCCCAGCCATCTCTCATTCCTACAGCTACCGCCTTCCCTCAGCAGCTGGTCTCTGGAGGGTTTGGAGGTGTCTCGGGTCCTGGTGTGGTGGCACCATTGGCACAACCTCAGGCTTTTATCCAGCAGGTTCCCCAACTACCCTTGCCAAATGGCCCCTCTGGACATATCCAGGTAGTGGGATCCTTCAGTGGCAGTGCCTCCTCTATGATGACTATCAACAGTTTGGAACAGCCTCAGATCCTGTTGAGGCAGAGCGGAAATGTAGTAACAAACAACAGCGGGCAGGGTACCATGTTCACCCCTTCCGCAGCTGGTCAGGTGTCAATGTCTTTCAATAAAGGAACGATACCACTTCAGAATATTATCATCCAGAGAGGCCCTACGCAACAGGCATTGGTTAGACCGATTCAGCCTAAACCCTTACAGGCAGGAGGACAAACTGTATACAATATCAGCAACATCGGGCTTCAACCTAGCACCAACACTGCTGCGAATTTAGTCAGTGGCCCCTACACAACAACTGGCTCTCCTCAGTCCGCTCAACAGGTGAAGGTGGTCAATCCAGCCAGCAGCATTGTAATGCATTCACCTCTGGGGCAACAAGTACAACCACAGTCCCAGTCCAATCTGCCTCAGGGGCAGTTTTTGCTACCCAGTTCCATTTCCCTAACCCCTGGTACGACTGTTCACAGCTTCCAGACTGTGAATGGGCAGGTGTTACAAACAAACACTCAAGTGGGTGAGCCGGGGTCAATAAGCACTACCACCTACTCCATCCTTACCAATCAGAACACAACAGTACAGCTTATCGCTGGGCAGAACTTTTCAGCTGGAGGGCAGCTAATAGTCAATCAAGGTTTGGTCAGTGGAGGTCAAATAGGCCAAGCTTCACCCACACCTGTTGCCACAACCAAAGTTTGGAATGCCAGCGCGTCCCCTAGCCCATCGCCTCTACAGACGTCACAGAGCCACCTCACCATGGTCAGTTCTGGAGTTCAAGGCCCACAGGTTTGTCAGCAGTTATCTGTGAGTCCAGGACAGCACCTCCAGCACCTTATGCCTGTGGGCCAGAACGCTCCAACAACTTCAGGCGTTCCGGAGTTTCAAGTCTCTCTAAACCAGGTGAAATATATTTGGATTCATTTATCCAAAGTGTTTCTTCAAAGTTGTATTGTTTCATTACATTTGAATGTTTCTTCGATTTCATAGAACACCACAACAGCAACACAAAGAGGGCAAACACAATTAGTTAATCTCCTTGGTACCAAAGGTAAGACTACTCTGAATCCTTTTTGTGTTTCCATCAGTGACCATAAATGAGATACATTTTTTTTGCCATATTTTTACATATACAATTTAAAATAAATGTTTTCTATTTTTACATATTTAAAATTTCTGATTTCATGCTCAAGAAACATTTCTGATGATGATACAAAAAATTATACACTTTTTCAGGATGCTTTGATGAATTGAAAGTTCAAAAGAAGCATTTATTTGAAATATAAATAGTTTGTAACATTATAAATAGGGCTGGGAAAAAAAAAATCGATTTTTCGATTAATCGTTTTTAAAAATGTGGTTGATTCAAAATCGATTCTCAACGGCCACGATTTAGTGTATAGTGTACCTAAAATAAAAAGAGTTTTATATACAGGTTTGTTACTGTTCATTTCTTTGTATTAATTAACCACTTGTAAACTTTGTTTACTGTTCTTTTTTTAAATAAATATAGGATTTGTATTACATCTATATTCATTATAGTCGAATCGAGAATCAAATCAGGAATCGAGAATCGAAATTGAATCGAATTGAGAGCTTGCAAATCGAAATCGAATCAAAATTGAACATCTGAATCGATACCAGCTCTAATCATAAATGTCTTAACTGTCACTTTTGATCAAAGCGTTAATTTATTCTGACATTTGAATGGTAGTGTATATATTATTATGTGTTGTTGCTTATTTGCACCTGAATTTCCTCTCTTGGGTCCATGAAGTATTTTTTCTTCATTCTACTTAATCTTAGCTGTGAAAACACTCACTCCTGCCAGTCAGGAATTGCCTCTCACACCGAAGCGACCTGCAACTCAGCAACTTACTAGAGGAGGAATGTGAGTGCCCAAATTGTACACCTGTTACAGATGAATTGTGTAATTTCTGCACCATTAGCGTCAATGAATAGAATTGCAGAAATAATCATTGTAAAACTGGGCCTTATTTGACAGGGTCCTCCAGCAGTTAAGACAGGATCACTGTAGAGTCATGTCTTCAGAGCGGACACCCTTCACTTCATTAAACGATGGCATTTACAGATTACTGCCCTATCATGTTTTCCAAGGCTCACCACCACAAGATGAAGACTTTGCCAAAAGTGCATTTTCAACTTTTCCTCTACATAATTCATATTTAACCATAGATAAATGTCATAGGTTCTGATGATCATTTTTGACCTTACAGTTGATGAGGAGTTTGAGGCAGTTGCCACACAAGTGCTCAACAGAACGCAGGCCATGGTGAACAAATACAGACGCTTACTCATGGTGGAAGCAGAGGTAGGTTCAGAACATGCTTTTAACTTAAATGCACAAAATACTACATATAGTTATTTGTAAGTAATTAATTACTCGAATGTAACTTGGGCTAATGCAAAACCATTCACTGCTTAATGCTCTTTCAGAGGTCTAGCCCTTCATCAGAAATGGTGATGATTGACAGGACTTTTAACCAAGAGGAACGGGGCAACTTGACCCAAGACAAACGAATGATATTAGTGGATCCAGGTGAGAGATGGGAGCCAGTTTTTTATATAACCAATGAACTAATACTAATGTTGAGTAATTTCATTGTTTCCAAATTAGGTTTATTTTGGTTGAATACAGTTAAGTAGTATTTGCAATGTATATTTTGGAGGTTTTTTTTGTTGTGTGATTATTTAATATTTTAAATGTGCACATTGATTTTGTTATATGCAAAGTAACATGCATAACTATATATAATTGGCAAAGCCTTGGGGAACAAATGAAGAAATTAATTTCTTATACGAGTAATTTAAAAATAATAATTAAAAGATATATATATATATATATATATATATATATATATTCAATCATCACAAAAGTAGAGTGTGAAGGTGGTGCTGGTAATTTCTGATCATTCAGATACATCAACTGCACTGTAAATTTTGGTTACTTTTGAAATTGTTGTGATTTATGGAACGCATTTACAATGTTGTATTATAATTATACCAAATGCAAACAAAAATGAAAAAAAAAAAATGTAATTAAAAAAATGTTTGCGCTTACTTGATTGAATGTATGTATGTAATTTTTTGCCACATTGCTCCTCAGATGGCTTCCTGGAAGACTTCTGCTGTGGCCGTAAACTAAGGATACCAAGTCCCGAAGTCTTGACCCCTGTCACCAATGAGGGCAATCCCAGCACAATGGAAACATCTCCAAGGCATTCCATAAGTCTCACCGTGAAAGATGGGCAGGGTATGAACAGCCACACAGAACCTGCTTATAGGACAGAATCTCAACAACAAGGAATGGAAGAACACAGAAGAACTCCCATCAAGTGCATCCTGGACCTCAAAAAAAAGACATCCAGCACCGTAATGAGCAGCAACAGTCAACATGCTCACTACCCTACATCTCCCAGCCAATCAAAGCATAGCTCTGCCCAAGGCTACCCTTCGAGCCTGGGACGGGGCCACGAAGAACAACTTCCCTCAGATCAAAATCACACTTCATTGGCTGACACAGACTCTGTGCTTGAGGCTGCTGTGAATAGCATCTTAGAATGTTAGACAGTGCCATATTTATGTGCGTTAGTCGTTCCATGTTAATCTCATTTCATTTCATGCCATGTGTGTGCGAGCTGAACTTCACGGCATGTGTGAATGGACCTACGTTGGCATTATCACGGTTTGAAATGCACACAGCAGCTCTGACTAGGTTGAGGAACAGGAAGGTGAATCTAATGATAGTAATACTCTAATACTGTGCCTGTTGTTCTAGAGAAGTTTACATTAAGAAAGCCTTTTTGACAATGCTTTACAGGATACACTTGCAATCACCCACACACACACACACACACACACACAATCAAGCAGTAAGTAAGTGTGATGTTTGGAAAGTCATGAGTAGACATTGATATTTGTAGCGTATCGATCAATATCAGACACTTAGTCTAATAGTCTGTCCGCACTTAAGGTTTTATGGTTGTCTCCACACTTATGTTGTATCATTGCAGTAGACTGACCAAGTGAGGCACACAAACACACCTGCGCGTTTAATTGTTTTTAAACATTGGTTGTGCTCTTCTTCTTCTTCTTTTTTTTTACATTTGTTTTGCAATTAGTTTTGTACCTTACAGGTATGTTACCTCTCCACAAAGACAAAACACACTCGTGTGGTTTTGTGCAGGGGAAATTAAGTCCTCAGATTGAGGGTACAATGTTACATGATGTTTATCTTTTTTGTTGAATTCATTTTTTGAAATGATGCATTATATATATATATCTATATTTTAAATTCTGTGCTGCTCCCTGTCAGGAGATAATATGTGCTGGTTTGCACCTTTAGTTAGTGTCTCAAAGAACCCACATTGGTGAATCTCATGAAAACATGGCGCATTTCAACCCAAAATCAATGGAATTTTTAAGAAATAATATTTTGCAAAAAGTTTTTAAAACATTTTAATCGCATTTCAATTTTTTTATTGTCAAATTCTTATTACATTTTGAAAGAAACTAAAAGAATTTAAGGCAGTGGAACTACAAGTACATTACAATTCACTTTTTTCCTCATCACAAATTATTATAATTTTTTTACATTATGGTTATGCAAATTGGTTTTAATTGTGCTTGTCATGAAATATTGTCATCACAATCTCAGTGGTCCTACAACAGGCTTGATTTCTCGGAGCAAAATATAATTTCTTAACTTTGATTTGGGGATTTTTGTGAGATTTACCAAGACTGATGTTCATTTTCCCTTGTGCGTTGAGTCCCCTGCTGGTCAGGCTGTAGTCTTGGCAGTCAGTTTGCAGTTTCTGCCTCTAGTGGCAGTTTATATTTGCACATGTGGACGTGACCTTGTACTTATAATAGCCATGATCACAGCTCTTTCAACCCTTCTGCAGTTTTAAATCGGTGAAAGCAGAAGTAGTGGTTTTGTAAATTCAATATTGGCATCTAATTAGTAGCATTATGAGATGGCTGTTTCCTGAGAGAATGCAGTTTGGTTGGAGGACAGGCCCACATTTTAAGAACCCGTTTTGAGAAATCATTTCTAAAGAGGAGACTGTCAGAAGAATTCAGTCCTGTTTTATAGATTAGAACCTATATTAACTGTGCCATTACAGGGCTTTGTCAGTCAACAATGGGAGTATGACCAAGACAATGTCAAAAACTGACCAGGGGAGCGTTTCCCAAAGCCAACTAAAGTCGGAGGTTCCATTGTTTCAAACAAAGTTCAAATGAATTTGCGATCATAGTTGGCTAAACTGCAGTGTGCGTACATTTTCACAAGTCTGCATCCATTCCAGATCGAAAGGGAAGGTTGCTTGTTTTCATCTAATGTCATCCCATTGTTTTAGCATCATTAACACTAAACGCCACCGTCTTTCCCAGCAATTCAACCAAAAATGATGACAGACAGAAAAAAAAGTGAAATATTCTTCTCTCTGATCTGAGCTCTAGAGGTCGGTGTTAGGGAGCATTTTGAAAGACCTTCACTTTGAAGGGCTTCTTTGCCTTAGGAGAGAGCGAGTGAGAACAAGTTTAAATAGTTTATCGTTTGTTTTTACTGCTTTTTGTTGTGCGAGTGTGGCCTTCAGTTATCGTAATACCCCATGGTCAAAGTTGCTTTTAACGTTTTATTTTCTGCATCACCTAAAACTTGATTTGTAATGTTTGTATTACAAAAAATAAAAACATGAAACACAAAATATTTATACTTTTTGTAAAGAAAAAGAATGTAAAACAAAAAAGTTATTTTTATTATGTTAGGTGTACACGTCATACTGTATATGTTGGTCAGTTCATGATTTGTTGTTTTTGTGAGTGTTCATTACAACAGCAGAGATAAATATTAAATCCATTTTGAATACAGCCATTATCTGTCGTAATGTCTTCCTTTTTAAAAAATTGTGGATATTTATATGCAACAATATTATAGAAAAATTAAGAAATTAAACAAGATCATGTAAACAACAAACAAAAAAAAAACATATGACAGGTCTAAAAAAGTGCAGAACAATATAATTTATTAGATCTCGGGTAAGTCCTCTGGTTACACAATAAACAAAACTTAAAATTGTTTTGCTTAAAAGCATTCTATTTTTTGGCAAATAAATATTTAATTCAAATAATTCCATTATCTGTACTTCAAGATAGGTTCCTATCAAAATGTTTAATTCATAAGTCCTTTATCAGTCACCTTCTTGACATTTCTAACTAACTTGTCAACAAAAACACAGCAAACCTCAACAGTAAACCAATAGTTCCTGATATTATAATCTTACCCTTCTTATTAGTCCATATGGCCCTGAAAACAATTACAAAGACCACCAAACGTCCTTAATGGTACTTCCTCCAGCGTTCAGTCTCTGTAAAACAGAATAAAACAGACATTTCAATCATACATGCCAATGATTATGGGATGTTTGTTGATGACAAGTATTCAGACTCACTGAGATGTTGGTATCTCCATGTGTAACACAGAATGCAGTATCCAGTCAACAGCATGGATATCCCACCGATCCCTCCTCTACGAACGTCAATGTACTTCCTGTAGTACCACTGCCAACCTGAACACATAACCAGAAAACACTAGAAAACATCACTAACCCAAATGTTATGTTATATTATGTTGGATAAGGAACAAACCTTGCTTTAACATGGTCACAATCTCTCCAGGTGACACCGGAGTTCGAGCGGCAAGCCAGGCGCCAAGTTTATTCAATCTGACATCTCCAAGTTTCTGCTGCACTAGAGGCACTATATGAACAAAGGGATTTTTATAGTTTCATAATTTCTTGTTTCTTTTGAATTGGTATGAGAAATGCATTATTTTAACGTGCATGTCATGAATACTAGTGTGGAAGCACAATGTGGGTGTGGAAAAATTCACATGAAAGACTGAATATAAATGGTAATAGGAGGAATGAGATGAAACTGTTTCATGGACAAACATCCATTTCCAGCCAAGATGAAAGTGTAGCTCATTTACTATCAGAAAGGCACTTAAGAATGTGCTTAACAATTCTAAGGTACCTAAAAGTAAACATAAAGCTAAATGTTGGAAATGAAAGGTTTTTTTTTCCATTAATTTCTACCATAGGACTTCTTTGTTAAAGCGTCATAAGCCATGAACTAAGCCTACGATGTGAATCATAGCATTAAAAATACAAAGGTAAAAGACTGTACTTAACAGCTTTAGTGAGGAAAAAACTACAATCCCATTTGGGGGATGTAAACAACCAAACATCACAGAAATCATGGATTACCTTCACTTTGGGTGAACGGTCCAGGAAATTGACCCTTCTTCCAAATATTTTCATTCGCATAGCTGCCTAAAGGGACCGAGGAGAACTGTATTCTGTTGTAAGCAGTCACTGTCTCTGGACTACATGATAGACTTCTTGCACCTTGCAGTCTTGAACTAATGATGTCTTCTGAAGGTTGATGAATGGTTTCAGATAAAGTCTGTGAGGATGGAAAGGCAACCTTGGTAACTGCTGTTTCAGGCTTGTTTGATTGTTGCATAGTCTCCACAGCAGAATCTTTGGATGTTTCAATAACAGGATACGGCACAAACCTCTTGTAATACAAACTGTAATTGATGTGGTCCCACACAGAAGTCTTGGACGTAAAGAAAGCATGAGCTTTATGCTCTTTTGCTCTCGACACTTGATCGATATTCTTGTCCTGGCTGTTTGTGAGCGTTTCAAGCTTCTCCAAAAAGTACACTTTCGTTTTAAGTTTTGGATTTTCATGCTGTACACTGCACTCAGATGGCAGGCTAGAGTTTTTCAGAATGGCTGGCACAAATCCAGGGGTATTGATTTTACTCTTGGTGATGGACAACTGCTCCGATAATGGTGCCATCTTTAGCTTCTTTTTGCCTTTAGCACTTTTTCCATTACATGTTCCCTGATTTGGTCCTTTGGAGATCTCACAAAAGCTTTTATCTCCTTCATGCTTGGATAATGAGGTAGGGTTGCTTAGCATCTTTGAGATTGGCACTAACAGGTGTAATCGCTCAAGTTCCCTTTGTCTTTTCGCAAGCCATTTGTTTTTAGGCCTCTCCATGTCCAGAGCTTTAGATGAGAAGACTTTGACCTCAGTAGTTGTGAGAAGACTGTCTGCATTGTGAGTATCTTCGTTACTCTTGCTTTTGGAGGTTAGTCTTTCATTAAAGATGACACCATTTGTTGTCTTTTTATATCTGGATGTTTTTGCACTCAGTTCTTTTGGCGCTTTAATGCTTTTCTTGGGTTGTGTAACTGGTGCCATTTTGCAGTGTGCTAGGTGGGTTTTCAGCCTCTTGAATGGCTTTCCACAAAATGGACATTCTTCTGAAAGAGAAAAGAATTTAAATAAATCAGATATTACAGGACTGGATCAATAGGTTTGAAATCACGGTATTGCTTGTAGAAACCAATAACTAATATTTCCCCAAAATCTCTTCGAAGAAACATGAAAGCAATTTATGAGCAGTGTTGTTAATGTAATATATTTCCTTTAACCTATTTAATAAATACCTCCACATTTTAAATATCTGTTTAACTGCTAGTTCATTTAGTCAACTTTCAAGTAGTACACTGACATATATGGCCTCAAAACAGATATGGGTTAACAGCCACAAAACTCCCATTTTGATTTAATGGGGTCTTAAAAAACTGCAAACAAGGCATGGGATACTAAAATGGACAAAAAAAAAATCTATCAAATATTTAGATTTGCCACTCACCTACACTCATATTTTATCATTTCACTGACATCTTTCAATGGAAGAGGGAAATGTCTTCTCTCTAGTGTCTTTTAATCATTCTTAAATTCTTGACTTGGGAACCTTTAACCAAGTCGATTGTATTTTCTCCAGCTCGTTTGTGCATATGAAATCTGCCGTTTGTTACCATGGGACATGCAGTAAGAGAACGGACCCTGCGATGTGCGATGGACCCCGCTAGAGGACTTGCCATATGGACTTGCTGGATTATTTTGAGTTACGAAAGACCCGGATAGCCGTCTCTATCAATGCCTGTGTGTAATTAGTAGCCTGGCCGTATGCATAACACCGTTGATCACGAAAGCAATTGCAAATTCTTTTCCTAACGAATTTTTTTCCTCGCAAGGAATGTTTTATCTATCTATCTATCTATCTATCTATCTATCTATCTATCTATCTATCTATCTATCTATCTATCTATCTATCTATCTATCTATCTATCTATCTATCTATCTATCTATCTATCTATCTATCTATCTATCTATCTATCTATCTATCTATCTATCTATCTATCTATCGACAAGGTAAGAATTCAAGCAGGAAGGCAATAACAACATATATGTTGTTATATATACGTAAATAGCCGGGGTTACATAGACTGGGAAAAAAAACAAAACAAAACATGTAATTCTAAAATGAACTAAAACATATTATATTATCTTACTGTAACATAAGTATTACACAATCGAAGAGTCTTACTGTAAGCAATTTCTAAATACTGTAAATATATCAACATCTATCGTGAAAATAAAAAGAAGTTAGGCTATTTTCTTTATAAATGTATCTGTTACATAAGTACATTTCGCAAAGAAAGAATAGTAAAGAATAGTAAAAAAAGATACAAACTTAATGTGAAAAGGGTCTATCTTCAAAGAGTCATATTTTTTTACTAATGCAGAAGTTTAAGGATAAATTCGAATTAGCTTTGCTACGAATTGACGTCATGACTGAATAAAACGTTGAATGGTATACCATTTCAAATTAACGGATTACTTGTCTAATCCAAATCACCTTAAATGTATTATTTAATGTAGAGAAAAATCTCAAAAATAATAAATTCATTCAATTAAAAAATAAAATATTACGTGCCAATTGTACGTCACCCCTCTCTCAAAGGCACGCAAGCTACGTCATTATGACAGCAACAGATGGAAGTGTGAGCGAGCGAGCGAGTGAGTGAGAGAAAGAATGAGATCCGGCGAAATGGATACGTTGTAACTTCAGAAAATGACTGAACTCAAGATCCATCTGTGAACAGAGAGAGGTAGAGTACACAACACCCATTTCGTCTCTTCACAAACTCAATTTATTCCGTTTAAATCACTTCGTTGCTTCTGTAGTAGGAACAGTTGATCGCTAGGAGGAAGTAAAGTGAACTACACATAGCATTGTGCTAGGTTATCTGTCTTTCAGCTTGACACCCTGAACGCACTATTTTTACATGGCAACATTAGTGTCGTTTTGTATCAGTGTGATTAACGCCCATTAGCCATTTTGTTTCAATAATGTCAATTAATACTAAACGTTTACATTTAAATTCTATATGGTGGTTCGTTCTCCGTCACTCTATGCAGATCATTTTCCTAGTATGAATGTAACAGCCCAGTGTATCTCACGAAGGCACCTAAATGCAAAATAGGCTAATAATAGATATTAATATTATGTTTTCTGGACACCTGTACTGCAATGTAAACGTGTCTGCAGCTTCTCACAATGTATTTAATGTGTCATGTCGCTCTTCATTAGGGAAACCTTGACAGTTCCCTTCATTTTGCTGAAAAGAAGCCGGTGGTTTCTGAGTCGAAGAGGTGTTGTGTGCCCTTATTTGGCTGTCAAATGCACAGATACGACATGTTGACAGAAAGCAGGTAACATCATTTGCTTATAATTGTGTCTGCACGCATGTTTCATGTTGCTTTTATGTAACGCATGTCCCGCCAACATCCATGTGGCTGCTGTTGTCAGTACTTCATGTCTGGTGGTGGCTATTTTTAGATGTTCTTTTAGAAGCCTGATCCTCTTGACTAGCTACTACTATATCGGTTAAATGAGTCCGTGCTATTATCCAACATCAGGCTTTGATAGCTCTTGTGTTGATGACATTTTTATTCTTCAAATCTGAGTCATAATCCTGCAGTGGACATATTGATGACTAATGGTTGCAATCAAGTCTGCAGGGCTCCATTTCTTAAGACAGTTTTCAATGTTCGTTCTTTTCAATCCACGCCCCCCCTAAATGTAATTATCCTCGTGCGAGGGACATCCATCCTGAATTTGTAAAGGCATCTATTTAGTTTCTTGTTGTAGCCCAATTTATATTGTGAAGATTTAATATTATAAATGTATCTAAATATTATTTGGAACATATTTAGTTTCTATTAAGTTAATTATTACATTCAGACTCCTGGTTTAAGAAATGGTGACACTCAGTGGTACACGTACTACTAAGAAAGGCTTGCAAATGATTCTGAACCAGCTGAAACAGACCTTGCGGTTATGAATTCTTCCATGCATGTTGAACAGAGTAGTCAAAGGTGATGGTCTCTGTCAACAGAAAACGCAGACGCAGCTGTGATGCAGAGCAACTCCAGGTCTTACCCCAGGCAAAGAGGTCTGGGGGTTATTCCTTTCTTCCTGAGGTTGGCCGTGATGTCTGGGACTCTGAGGTAAGAAGACACAACATTTGGCACAACTGTTGACGTTCATTCACACACTTAGCTCTTTCAAAAGTATGGAGTTAAGTCTGATTCCAAAGCTGTATCAAATGGAAGGTATTTGACTTTTCCAGTGTGATGAATGAACCTGTTCACACTTCTAGTTCAGTTTGTTTTGTCTGGTCTAAAAAAAACTAAAACTTGTAGCCCTGGTCCGCTTAGAGTTCACATTGGCATTTTAACATCAAACCTAAAGTCATAGGGATACATTCATAACCTGATTGGTTGGCTTTTATAACGTTTCGCAATGGAACTTGATAAATGCGCTCGTTGTGTGTGCGTAGCCAACATATGATGGTATTTTGACCAGCCTAGAACTCTTGAAAAGCTTATAAAGTATGTAAAGGAGTCGAAACAGCAGCCGGAATCCATCCGTCACACACAAACGAAGATCTGCTCTGAGGAGACGCTTTAGATGCGGCAATATCGCGACTGTAACGAGTAATATCAGGCATGCTTTAGCATTCTGTCCTTTTTAGGGTCGTATCTTGTGACGTCATGTCCCATTTTTGATCCTTTTACATATCTTTGGTCCGTGTTGGAATCATATTTTATATCAAACCGAGTTCGTTTGAAAGCGGGCCGAGACCCATCTTTTCTGCCGCCTTGGTCCACTTGCTTGTGTGCGCGCCAGGGTTCGGGTGGCAGTGTTCACACTTATTCGAATGAACTGCAATCACTCCAGGGTTAGTTTTAATCAAACCAAATATGCCTGAAGGTGATGATACACAAGGCAACTTTTTGAGCAATGTTGCCGTCAACGGGCAACTAGATGAGACACAGGGCCCACGACTGATCTAAATTATCCAGATAGAAATGAATTGCCCATTTTCAATGGGAAAGTACTCAAGCAACAGTCGCTCGGCAAGATTGCCCAACAACATTGCTCAAAAAGTTGCCCTGTGTATCATCACCTTTAGTCTCTTTTTGAGTATTTTATTAGTTGACACAGCCCACTTGTAAGACATTTTTCATTGGAAACTTTAACCAGAAGTGGTACAGCACAGAAACCCTCAAATCTTTTTTCCCCAACAGTCTTCCAGCAGTGACAGCAGTGGGATTAGCAGTCCGGACCGCATGGCAGGTGCCAGTTCCAGCACCCAGAAGACCGACCAAAGAGGACTCCCTGTTTCCCAGGCTCCCTGCAGCCCCACTATTGCAGAAGAGCCGGCCATTACCTTGAGCCACAACATCTCCTATGATCACATCAACCGTATCTTGAAGGAGGCCCACTTCAGTAGCCTGCAAACTCGTGGTCAGCAAGGTCCAACGTGATGGACAGTGACTCTTCCAGCACCCATTGGCATTAAGGAACAATGTACTAGGGAGCTTTTAGAGGGATTTTATGGGTCGCTTTAAGGCCTGGCACAAATATAGGCCCTCTAAATGCATTTATGTTCTTTCTTATAGCACTTTTTCATGTTCATAGTGTTTATGTGGGGCTCTACTTGATGTGTTGACCATGAACTTCACATAGGTGCTATATAAAAGAACTATCTTGAAAAAAACAACAACATCAAGTTCTTGTAAGCTTTTCCCCTTTACGAGACACTCACACATGGTGCTACTGCGGTTCTGGGTCATGTTTTACTCAGACACATGCATTTGGCCACTTTTGACACTCTTTGGTTGGTCTAGATAAGGAAAAATAAATAAAATAATGTCCTTTATTTAGGAGCTGAGGTAAACCATGTGATTATATTTGCATATCCCCTGCTTTGGAGTCATTCCAGGATGATCAATATAATGCTGTTGTTTACAGAAGATGCCGGTTTGGACTCTTTCAGGAAGTTTTTTTTTTTTTTTTTTGGAGGGGGGAAGGCTTGATGATTGCTTACATATCCAAAACTCAGGTCTAGAGGATTTCTCCCTGTGTGCCATGAAGGTTGAGACTTCAAATGAGGAACTTGTTACCAGATTTGTCGATTTAAAAAAATAAATAAAATCTCTTTACCTTTACCTTAGACGAGGAAACGCATACTAGCACATCACACTGTAGAGAGACTATTCTGAAAATGCATGCTAGACTCAGGTCTGCTAATGTACATACTGAAGTACTCTTAGAGAAGGTGTAAGCCAACTGACAGGCGAATTAGTGTTTAAATCCAGTGACTGCAAATTGAAAGCCATGATTAAATTTTAAATTGATCAGAGCATTAAAACTGCGCTAGTTTAGATCATTCACTCAATGTAATACGAGGACTAGTCTTCTACAGGCAGACCTAAAATTAGCTTGCACCTAACTAAGCACTCAACAGTGTCATATCACCACAAAATCCTAAATATTTTACCATAAAATGTTAATATACCAATATATATGATGGCTTGATTCATTTTCAGAATGAGAAAACAAACTGGAATGGTAGTGTTCCTAAATTTAGTATGCACAAGTATAGTTCAGTCCTTTTTAGATACACATCCTCAACTAAACTTCAGCTTAGTCCAAACAGTTGTATGAGGATGCTTACATCATTTCAAGCAGGTGATCTCTACACTTTCAACTACTCAGTGCACACAATACTGTACAACCCAGGCACTGTGCTTTGTGTGAAAGACTATTAGCTTTCGATGATGAAAATCGTCCCTGCAGTCACCATTGTTTTGTATGTAGGACTGTACATAATGCATAGCTAGCATATATACAATATTTGAAATCATTGTTATTTTATGAATTCTTCCTCTGATGTAAATTAAATAAAGACTTTTTCTAATTACATGTATCGTTTTTTTTTATTCCCGTTTCAGTCTCCGAATGGACATTTGTATTCAAACCTGCCTTTCAAAACTCATGGCTTTAGTTTTATAAGTTGCTGTAACATTTTCACACAAGATAATTCTTTATATATTTGCAGTGCACACAAGGTAGACAATGGTTTGGCAGGATGTATTCTGATCAAACTTGACTATGTAGGTGTTAATGTTTGTTCTTACCGTGTTTTATAATGCACACAATAAGTGCTTTTAGTAAGAGGAAAGACTAGTGCAAATAGTAGCAATCATTTCAGTAACACTCGTGTTAAACACCTCAACTGAAAAGTGTCCTGAGTTATTTCTCAAAAGCATCGCAAAGAATTCAGAATGATTTGAAGAGACTTACCATACTGATCATGAAGATTTTTCCCAGCCTTAATGTGAACCTCTAGCAGCATTTAGACGGTGCGTAAAGAGTACGTTGCAGTTGCAATTGCATGTTATCTCCATAAGCACTGGTTAAGTCAGTAACCACATTCACATGCACAAGAAATCCTTGACAGCAACTAGACTATTCCTGTATCCATGTAGTCGGCTTATAAACAAAGACATGCATGTTTTTTTCTGCTACTCTCTGGTGGAAATACTGGATTTTTTTCTTAGTAATTCAGCATATTGACATCAACTCATCAAGAGCACATTGACATGCAATATGTACACTAACTCTCAAAAATTTGGGGTCGGTAAGTTCCTTATTTTAGCGTTTCTGTTTAAAAAAATTGCTTTTCCTAACAAGGTGTTTAAGTGACTCAAAATTATGTTTAATACAAGCATCGGCTCTTCAGATTTCTGGAAACCACCAGAATATTGGTCTAATCGGGTCATGGCGTTCACGTTACTGCAGACTATTATTTGATTGTGCATGTAAATGTAGTCACTTATTATTATTCTTAATATCACAAGGTTGTTAACCATTCCATTCAAAAATGTCTTTCAATGCAAAGCTGATTCTGTGCAAGAAGAAATCACTCATAGGCTGAATCACGTGAACCTGAATGGAAGGTTAGATGAAACCGTAGATGAAAGTTGGCATCAGAGATTAAGAAAGGAGAAGGCAGACACTTGCTCACTTGATGTGGGTGAGCCTGTAGTTCTCTCACAGCTTTTCTCACTCGCACAGTCTATGCCTGTAGTGGCTTCTACACTTGTCTGGGCGTCTGACTCGACAGGAACAGGCTCAACCAAACACACAGGTTTGCTTCTGTTCACTAGCTCCATTCCACTGAAGAGCGACAGTCTGAGTGGTTCTGAGATCTTGGAGGTGTTCGTGTTTCTGGTTCTCCCCTCTTCTTGCTCTCTTGTCATATCAGACCCAGGTGTAGCGCTGTTACGCTGTGGGTATTGTGTAGATGGGGTCTCCTCTGATGGGATAACTGAGGTTGTGATTTCTCCAAGTTGTCCTGGAACAAAGGGGACGGTCATAGATTCGGAGGGCTGGTCTGAAAGTGAAGAGCTGGCGAAGGTTGGACGCCCAGGATGGTCACACCTGGGATTTGTGACGCAATCAAGCAAGGCCTCAAACTGCCTTAGGAGCTAGATTTAAAAAAAAAAAAAGAAAAAAAGAATCTGTTAGTCCCACAAAATTACAAGAGGATAGAACAAGGGCAATTGTGCTTATCAGTAAATATTAGCTGTATTAGTATTAATTATTATTAAAGAGGCCATATTATACCATTTTACAAAGTCTTGATTTTGTTTTTGGGATCTGCTAGAGTAGGATTTGATGCTTTAATATTTAAAAAACATTGTTTCAGCCGGGCCTCGCCCCTGGAAATTATTTCTGGGGAATTTATTATTACAATTTTGCAATATAAAGCAGCATAACAGACTGTTTTAGTATCTGGAAGCTAAAATAACTGGAAGTCTCACACATTAAAATTACAAATGGCCACATTCACTCTTAAATGGATACTTCACTTCTGGAAAGATGAATGTGTATTTAAATGGGTCGTTTATGTTGAAGAAATGTGAAATTATTTTTGAATTTGTAGCTTTCTAGACTGAGAAAAGCCAGAGAATGTATTTTTGGCTTATGTGGATGAAAAACAACTCCCAGAATGCACTTGCTTCGCTGGCCTAGGAGGCCACGCCTATCGCTAACAGAGCGCAGTAGTTAAACAACAAGTCTAGGCTACTAGTGAGTCTCCGTGATGTGTTTCGAGATCGCTCAAAATGACCGGGATTCGGCTTTTACGTTCCACAGTCACCATTCATTGTGTTTACTGTGGCGAGCAGGACGAGTGAGGGCCGCGGGGCTTTATTATTATTGAATGATCTGCTTCCACTCATTTACACATGGTTTTGGTGACGGTACCTTGGTTGCCTTGTTGGCGACAGGGCCTGCGGTTCCGTCACTAAGTTGTTCGAGGCGTTTGTGTGTGATATTGAAAATATGATCTAGAGAGAGGAAGTCTGAAGACATCAGGCAGGCCAGAGCACACAACGCTCTCTGCGGGAAGCAAACACAAATGGGTTATGCTGTGCGTTATCAAAACAAATGTTTCAGACAAGTTAAAGAAAACAATTTAGGTTTATTTAAACAAATCATAATGCTGAGCCTAAATGTTACAGAATAGGAAACATTACCATCTGGATGATTTGTGTGTGGTCCTGAAGTCTGCGACAGAGAAGTTCAACAACCACCTCACAGTTGAGAGTTGAGCATCTGAAAGAAAACAGTTATTTTAACTCAAATTTTAACTAAAACAAAATCATGGTTTGCTTTTGTTTTGAATGAATATTTATAGAAATTGATCATGATGGTTCTGATCATGGTTTGCTTTTGCTTTGGAAATCGGTTTCAGGTTGATGTTTTGGTTTCTGGTTTGTTTCATAAGTTATCATGTATTGACGGGGACTTGATATGTTGAGTCTTTTGATATGTTGAGTTTATTTTTGATTTTTATCCTTTTGTGGAGGGGGCGGGAAATATAAAATATTCTTCGTCCTGCCTCCTTTTCATCATGGTTTTATAAACTTACATAAATGAGAATGATGAAGTAAGTTAATGGAAAAAATATCCAAGAATGAAATAAACAATCAATAAATCAATCCACTGGATTACACATCTGTGAAAAGAAAACTATATACGCTGACATTATAATCCAAGGGTGTATTGCAGATCAGTAATGATCAAGACTAATGCCAAAAAAACAACAACAAAAAAAATCAAGAACATGTCTCATATGCTTTTTTTTTTACTCTTTGATGAAGTATTGGCTCTCTTCTCTGGACAGGAAGACTTTAGATCCATTGGTCAGTCGGTTGATAAGCGCCGTCTCCTGACCACAGTCCCCCAACTGAATGGCCTCCACACTGATTTAAAAGAACAAATAGTAAAATATGAGAACTATCAAAATAAATATGTGAATCTCACAAAACATCAAAAGAAAAAAAAATGAATGTACTGCATTTTGCTTTGTGAACATGATGCCCATTTGTTCATTTTTATTACCACTATGTGAAAAAAGTACAGTACTGTTCAAAGGTTTGGGGTCAGTAAGATTAAATTGATCAAAAGTGACAATATAATGTTACAAATAATTTTTATGTCAAATAAATGTTGTTATTTTTTAACTTTCTAAACAATTGTTTTACAAATTATCATGAATTCCCCAAAAAATATAATAATAAGATTTAAAAAAAAGTTTCTTGAACAGAAAATCAGCATTTTAGAATTATGTCCCAAGGATCATGTGACACTGAAGACTGGAGTAATGATGCTGAAGCTTTGACATCACAGGAATAAATTACATTTTAAAATATAATATTCAAATAGAAATATATTAAAATGAATGCAGCTTCAGTGAACATAAAGGACTTCTGGTAATATTTGTTATACTGCCTTTAATGTATGCAGATTTTAATAAAAAAAACAATCTCAAACATACTGATTCATTATGATAATGAGTATTTATGCTTAATTATAAGCCATGTTTCAATGTTCCGAAAATTTATAATTTTTATATCTTGTGATTTTGTGGGAAATATGACAAATGACATCTGACATGACTCTGTATGCTGCTATTTTAGTTCTGGAAATGAGGTGCCAGCATTAAAATGCCCCTTGGTGATGCAATGACCTGATGTTAATGACCTCGAACACTTGAGAAAGCAATGTGTGTTCACCATATGACAAGAACAGAAGCCCTGTAGCAGTCTGTCCCTTACCGTTCCGATAGGTCACCACACTCCCGACTCGCCCCGGAGTGGCTGCCCGACTTACTGCTTCTTCCAAGCGAGGCTTGACTGGCTTCCGCAGTCTCCTGGGACGAGCTGTGCCCACTGTCCGTTTCCTCCCAGCCTCCACCAGCATGCCCTGGAGACCTGTGGGATGCTAAGAGAAGGAGAAATGCTCATTTCTTTGAAACTATTACCATGCACTGCTTTTATAACCTGGTGCATGGCTCACTTCTGTGGCCGTGGGATGGGATGTTGTAGGCACACGCTGGCACTGCCATCTCCACAGTAGCAGAGGGCGCCACCACAGCGTGGTAGTGGTTATCGTGGAGACGGATGCCAGGATGCTCCGTTGGAGGAAGGACAGCGCTGGCAACCACCTCGGCAGCTTTCTGAATCTTGTCCAGTAGAGTCCCTCCACCTGAACGAGAGAGGGAAAAGAGACAGGACACACACCAGAATGCCTTCCAGTTGTAAATATTAGTGTTGAGCTCAGGACTTGGATGAATAACATTAAATGTCTGTGTCTTACTGGACTCTTTCCTTCCTGGGCTGTATCCAAACCCCTGCATGCCAGACCTGTGCGACTCTGAGCCCATTCCTGCACACAGAAATCTTGGTATGATTTACATACTATAGCTATTTAACATTTTTTTTAACTAGTATACCTATTACACTTTTTTGGATAATACCTTGTTAGTGTTATGAAGCTGTTTGGGAATGTAAAACAAGTTTCAAAGATCAAAGTGCAGGAAAAATGGAGTTAATGTCTCCCAAAAGAAAGAACCGTTTGTGAACTGTCTGAAACAAGTCGTCAGTAATTCCAGTCTTACTTCCAGCTCGAACCTACGTAGGTTTGTAACACATTTGCATAACGCTTGTCTGCATTTGCATGAACAGTGTCTGCTTGACCCGCCTTCAAACACTGTACTTGTAGCTGATGCTAGAAAGAGTTTAGTTTGTGCTTTTGATATGTCAAGAAGATCCACATTGCTGTCACTGAAGACTCACGGTCGATTTGATACGATGAAACGGACACTGTATCACTGTGTATCATGCTCTGAGAAAGCCTCGGCAACTGAAATTCAGATATTGTAATAGGCGTTTGGTTTCCGACGTGCGCTAGAAGAGGTAGACCAATCACAATAGACTGGGTCATCTGACCAATCAGAGGAGAGGGGTTTAGAGAGACCGGATCCTTGATCAAACCAGACATTGGTTTCAGACATTGTGATAAAAAAGGTGATGCTGAAATGTATATTATGAGAAAATACGTGTATTTTTGACCTTGTATTGATGTAAACCTATTGTAGAAGACCTCCAAAATAAAAACAAAAAAGCATATGGAGAAAATACCAAAACAGCACTCACCCACAGATTGTGTCAGTTTTTTGTGTTGAGAAAGTCCAGAATCTGAGGACATGGTATCATTAAATAGTAGGCTAGCCAACTCCTGTATGGAAACAAATGCTGGCTCAATTCAGACACAAAAACAAACAAACAACAAATAGACAGAAGAGTAAATCCCTGCTGTATTAATGATATACTTCATTTTCTTTATGAATAGAAGTGCATCTATGGTTGTTTTCTAGATATACCATAAACTGTAAAACATCATTAATTCAAGAAATAAACAGAAGGTCAACATAAAAGACTACAAAAAGAACTTAACTGGAGTTTAATGGGTCAATGATATTGATTTTTCTGCACAGAGAGAAAGTTTACCTGTGCCGAGCTTCTGACTTTCTGAAAAAGAGCACTTCCATGGATGGGGTCCGGGGGGCCGCTGTAGACTAAGAAAGACAGAATACAGTCACCCTTTTCATTGACTCAAACTCAAAACATAACTCGATCAATTTATAAATAATGCACTACATTTTTATCTCATTGAATATAATAAAGCAGGTTCCAAACATCCCTGCATCTTGATAAGATTTTCAAGTTACTGATGCTCTGGTTTTGATGATTTAAACATTAGGGTTTTATGTGTGCACGCTGACTCCTACGAATCAGCCAATATGACTTCCTTTAAAAAGTGCTCCAGTGTTTTCCTTTAATTGTTTAGACCTGCTTACCTATTACTTCCTGTATAAATGTAGCATTCCGCCGTAGCTCTGTGAGGAAGTGAGGTGGTCCATGGCCACATAAATGCAGGAGAATCTTCAGGACCTTGGACAGGGTTAAACGCACAATAAACACCACAGACCAAACTTAAGATATCAAAAATACTTCAAAACATTGAGCTCAATAAAGGGGGTTAATGAATTACCCTTTGCCTTTGCAGGGTTTGAACCTACCAAACCAAATAAGACTGAGCCACACCACTCTGTCGTACCTTAAGTTTGACGTAGCAGGAGTCCACCTGTAGTCTCTCCAAGAGGTACTCGAGAAGACACTGGCAGCAACCCACTGACTCATGGGAAATTTCTTAGTTACCATGACTGTCAAGGTCCACTGATGACAGAGAATTCTGTATCCTACCCTACTCTATTTTATTCTGTAATGCCTCAAAAAGGATACTGCCGATTTCCTCAAAAAGATAGCCGGGACAAGGCGATTCGTCATCTGATGTTGCCCGCATAAGTGTTGGCACCTAAGACACAAAAACAAAGGTGAGGAAATCTCTCTTCCCAGAGTCACCTTTAAAGTCAGTTTGAAATGGAAGTTGTAATAGTCTTTTCTTCGCTATTGTTCTTTGAAATTATTTTGATTAAAGAATATGAGGACACATGAAAAAAAAAGATAGGCCTAGATAAAAAAAGATTAATCAATAAATACTGAAATATTCCATAAAATGTTAAGAATTAAAGAATTTTGCTTTCATGGTGACTTTTTAACTCGCTGTATGCGTGTGTGTGTGTGTGTGTGTCTATTATTCTTATAAGTACTGTGCATTAACATCCTAAATGAACATGGTACATGATACCATGACAGGTAACTATATACAATGAATGTAACATGGTATTTATTGGCTAACACTCCATTATATGACACTATAGTTTTAATATAGAACATGGACACTCATGTAGCTGTTATGGTACAAGTAAAAAAACAAAACAAGGTGACGTTAGGACTACGGTACATGTTCAAAACACTATGGAAGTACCATGGTATTTTGGTCGTATATTTTTAAGTGTCTGTGAACAGAAATATCAATTATACGCAGATATATACAGTCTATTCAACTGCTGCTAACGCCAGATATACAGTAAACAACGTAGGAAACTAGTTTAGGCGTAAAATATTGCTGAAATTACATAATATTCCGGGTGCCACGGATACGTACTTTTTGTAGGAAATTCAAACGTTCCAATAATGAAGCCATGATGGAGAAATCTGTGTTTTTTCGCTGGTCTATGTACCATTGCTCACAGGGCGGGTGACCGTGCGGATCCTGCCTGCCCGAGGAAATCCTCAATCACACGGACCTCTGTTTAGCTCGCCCACTCTGGATTTGACACAGCGCTGACCGGTTTGTGAATCGAATCTTTTCAGTGAACAGGTTCAGAAATATTTGAATGACTGAAAGATCTGTTCAATGCAATCGATTCGTTCGCGGAAATGAATTCAATGTGGTTGCAGCCAATAGAACGCGGTCTTATAGAACACGTGACTGGATACGGAAGTTAATATGAAGTGGATTTTTGATTCTTTTGACCGTCCTGAAAATGTCTTTGAAATAAACTCATGTTACTATTGGCTTTTCATCAGACGCAGGAAACTACAACAGAAAAAGCAACCAATCAGAAATCAGCGAGGATATTTCTGGTTCCATATTAACGCTTTGATTGGCCAATTACTCGTCAATGGGAGGTTTACACACGTTATCTCAGAGGTCAACAGAATGGCGCTGTTCATGTTGAATATACACACTACATGAACCTCTGTATAGGACTTTTGTGAATATACTATGATGGGTCTCATAGATTTTAAATGAACTTCGACACACCAAATTATTATTTTGCTGCTATTTAAAGGATTATTTTCAAGTCTTTGAACTATGTCTGGTTCAAATGTTTGGACTCGCAGCAGAGCGAGAATGAGACTCTTCCCAGAGCTGTTGGCTCAGTGCTCAGGAGAGGTACACGTTCAATTAGTATTCCTTATTTAATCAGTATTGTCGTGTATATATTATATTATATTATATTATATTACATTCACACTCACCGGTCGCTGTAGGTACACATACTTTGCTAAGAACAGGAAACTGAGGCTTCAATTGGCACAGACTCACCAAAATTGGACAATAGAAGATTGAAAAAAAAAATGGTAGGGTCAGCATTTTACATAAAGGTGTTTCAAATATTTTCTTGGCACATTTTGGACCCCTCTAGTACCTGTGGAGCATAGTTTAAACACCACAGCCTTCCTGAGTATTGTTGCTGTCCATGTCCATCTCTTTATGACCACAGTGTGTACCCATCTTCTGATGGCTACTTCCAGCCGGATAATGCACCATGTCACAAAGCTCGAATCATCTCAAACTGGTTGAACTTGATAATGAGTTCACTGTACTCAAATGGCCACCAGTCACCAGATCTCAATCCAATAGAGCATCTTTGGGAGATTTGCATGATAGATAGCTGCATATATAGATAGATACATCGATACATAGATAGATGCATTCTATTATCGTATTGTAAAGTGTTCTGTTTTTCTATTATTATATTATTAGGCAGCTGCTTATGGGAAATGTGTGGCCGCCACAACCACTGGAAGACAGGAGCTGACCAAAAACATGTGTCTCAAAGAATTTGAAGCACTGAGAAGCTGCTTTCAATCTGCTGTGAGTGTTTTATTGCGATTATGCTGCATATTTACAAGTATTTGATAATATCCTGTTCACACAAACCTATAGAGACACGATTATAAAGTACCATAATATTTGAATTGTTCTATACTTTATTTATTATTAAATTGTTTTCGCTCAAACATTAGAGCATGGCGCCAACACCAAGGTCATAAGTTTGATTCCCAGGGAATGCATGAAACAAGTAGAACACAGACAAATGCATCTGCCAAATGCATCAATGTAAATTACACATTTATATTCATGTTTATAAATATTCGGTGACTGTCTATATATTGTAATATGACATTTTGTATGTATATAATACATTTTGTTGTCTTTTCCTAACTAATTGTTTTATATTTGCAGGCGAAAAAGGGAGTAAAGTGAACATCATCATGAATAAATATCATATTAACCTTGACGACATTGGAGATCATTTAAATGAATTAGCCAGTAAAACATGTCTGCTGATGAATATCTTTTCATGGTAGATTTGTCATTTCTCTCTCTTTGTAAATACACACAGATATATTAATAATGCGTTTCAAATGGATTTCAACTGTATTGTGCCCAAAACCACAATAAATTTTTTTCATAAAAACGTGGAATCATAATTCTCTTCCTTTGCTCGTTTACATCGTTTACATATCGTTACAATATAATATATAGAGGCAGTTTAGACTGAATTATATCCCCATCTGCATCATTACTTTGCTGTTTTCACATATCAATATATCAGAATTGGGATAAAAGAGGCAGACTAATGATAACCAGACGCTGTGTGTTGTTTGGAGTGTGTAATTGTCAGAATGAGAAATAAGATATGAGGTGTTGCGTGATGGGTGGTCATTATCACGCCCTTGACCGCCGATTGCAGATCAGCACTCGAGTTAGGCTCCGAATTTGGCCTCGCTCCTGAAACCTAGGATGGAGGTTTAAAGGGGTTTGTTTCCAATCAAACAAAAGCAGGCTGAAACATGAAAGGCCAGCTGATTAATGTGTATCCGTGGGGTGTATGTCACTGGCACCACAAAAGATTATGGGCTCTTAGTCGTCTCGTGTGGAATGTAAAGCTGTGCCACTGTTAAATACACCCTTCCTGCACAACCCGCACCCTCATTAGCCACATGTTAATTGATAGAAGGGCCATAAAGGCAGCCACTAATGACTGGGGATCAACAAACGAAAAATGGCTCCGGTATTAAAAAAATGTTTCAAACAAAGCAATGACCTGTATATCTATAAGAAAACACATGCTACAGGTTATGCTTTAGCTCAGTCACAATCAGTGTTTGTGGCCTTCCTTCATATGGGCTTCATTCGCACATTTTCAGTGCACTACAAGGTGTTAATTGAAAGAGAATGGTCCTTTGGAAACGGTCGTGTTTGGTCCAAATTGGCTATAAAATCGAAAAGGTTTAGGCTGGGGAACTTCTCTTGACTTTAAAAAGGCTTATGCAGACAATCAGTTCTGTGCACATTGAGCATTAAAGTAGCACATGTTGTCCTTTATCATCGGAGGTGGACAAACGACACAACTTCCTTAATTGAAAGTACAGATACTAGTCAAATAGTACTCCGTTACAAATAAAAGTTGTAAAGAGCAATTTTTACTTAAGTAAAAGTACAGAAGTATTCGTTTTTAATAGTACTTAAGTATCAAAAGTAAATGCCAATGCATTGTTTTATTATTGTTACATTGTTGTATATGCAACATGTATGCCTGCCAACCTACCCTCATGTCAATATCAATTTTATTTCTAGAACACAGTTCCAGTAGTGGGATTGAATATGTGCACTCAAAGTCGACAATGGTTTCCGACACCCAAATGGCTGTTCCCTCAAACAGTGCCATATTCACAAGTTTTTTTGGCTTTTAGTATGTTAGCCTTACTGTTATCTATAAGCTAGTGTGCTCCAAAACAATGCCAAAATTTGCCAAAACAATGCCAAAGAGATGTAGTGGAGTAAAAAGTACAATATTTGTCTTTCAAATGTAGTGAAGTTAAGGCGAGACACCCTTAAAATAGACACCCTTGAATAGGGTAAAAAAAACAACTAATATATATCACCATACTTCACCAGTTGATTGATTACATTAATAATAGCAAACATTAGTTTTTTTGTATTACAAGTTTTTAATTTTAATGTCTATTATGTGAATGAGGTGTTGTTTAATTAAGTATGCACTAATTTGCATACCTTTGTAGAACAAAAATCTTGGATGAAGTCAGGTTTAAAATTATTGTTTCATTTATTTGATATATTAGAGCCAAAGGTTTTTACTGAGCGGATTTTGGATGTCTCTGTTTATCACTCTACAAATCAGAAAATACTGTCAACAGCCGAAAATAATTACATTTTCACCATTTGTTTGGGAATCCATATTCATAATATGGATAATAACACAACTGTAAAGTTTGGTGTATTTAAGTGTTACTGAAGTTGAGATTTCTTGCTCAGTGTAGGAAAAAAAAAAACCAATAAAATAAAAAATAAAATGCCCAAAATCTCAAAATTGACTATGAATGAAAGTGTCTGGCCTTAAAGTGAAAAGTTTCCAGAAAAAAATAATACTCAAGTAAAGCACAGATACTTAAGTGCACTACAGTCCACCTCTGTTTATCAAGCCAATACTTGACATGGCAAATCAACCAGGGACAGCAACAATGTTTTAAACGTTTCTAATTCTTTTATAGTCATCAAGCATGCCATATTCATGACATCATATTAATTGAGAGACTAGGATATTGTGCATTCAAAAAAAAGTTTGTCATAGTGCAGGAGTGTTTAAATGGATAGTATATCCAAAAATTAAAATCATTTACTCAAGTTGTTCCAAACCTGCTTTTCTTTCTTCTGGTGAACAGAAAAAAAGATATTTAGATGAATGCGGGTAACCAAACAGTTGACGGGGCCCACTGACTTCCTGAGGTTTTTTTTTTTGGTTTTTTTTTTAGTCAATGGGGCCCATCAACTTTTTGGTTAACTACATTCTTCAAAATATATTTTTTGGTGTGTTCAGCTGAAGAAAGAAATACATATCATCCCTTTAAATGAACTGCACAAAAAAGTTTGAAAAGTGTACTATTCACTATAAAATGTAACTTAAAATCCTAAACTTGAGGGGAAAAGATAATAGAAATAGAAAAAATGTGTACATATAATATATACAAACTTGAAATATGAACACAAAGAACATTTTGAATAGAAATTCTGTTTCACATAAATCATTTTATTAATTTAACCCAATAACTAAAATGGTTTAGGCCTAAAAGTTATCGACTCCTGAAATCTGCTAACATTTACCTTTTGAACACCTGTACATGGAAAAGTAAGCCGTGTTACTCATCTTTTAGGATTTCAAACCATATCTCTCTCTAAATATATATTTGCTCTTTTGAAATATAAAATGTAAGATCCCCAGAAGCGAGATCAGGAAATTTATCAAAAGAATAATCAATTATTACCATGCAAGGTATATAAAAAAAATGCAGTTGGGGGGAAAAAAGACGCAATCCACACACAGTGCGGGTGTAACAGACCTCACATACACATCACTGCAGAACATAAACCTATGAGGCACTGATAAGAATCACATCTATAGGCAAATATATGGAATGTAGAACAACAAAACAATGCAAATCCATTGCACAGTGAAAACAAATAATACATTTAACACAAACTCAAGAATTTTATGGTCCAATTTCAGACAAACCTCAAAAGATGAGAGTTGAGTACTTTCATAAAGTAATAAACACACTGAAACTAATCAAACGAGAAAAACAATACGCACAATTTTAGTCAGCTAGCAATAAATCAGTCGGCGATTCTCACACTTCATTCACTTATAGCTGGTTTTACTAGATGTAACAATAGTTAACTTTTAAATATACTATTAATTATCATAAGTTAACTCTTTGGAAGAAAAATCTGATACTGCAGCAGACCCACATAGAAAGACACTCCTTTAAAAGGCGTACATTTCATTGCATTAAAAGGAGAAAGAACGTTAAAAATGTGATCAAACTATTTTTCATTAAGGACTTTGGATGAAAATGAAGGAAAATATTATTTTTCTTAAAGAAGAAGTTAACAAGGACCACTGGAAAAACAAAGACGTCAAAACTTATTTTTACCAATCAGACTCACCACTGAACATATTGGCCAGGGTAACATTAACACTCCATGTTCAAAATACAGAATAGCAGATTGAAAACACAAAAGGCACAGTAAATGGTCCACTAGTTTCAAGAGAAAATAAAAATCAGGTCCTACAAAGATAAAAGATTTTTTTAAACTCACCTCATATTAATTGTAAAGCCGACGGAAGTTCCTGGCTTCTATTTTCATTCACAGAAGGAAGTATGCAATAACTACATAATTCACCGTAGCAGACACAAGAGGGTGCCGTTTTACGTCCTATGCGACGGTCCAAAACACAATATTCTTAAATGCCCTGTGTGCCCATCAAGGCCCATTTTTAATGTGATGCCCGCTCAGTTTATTACACCAGACATTCTTGTTTATTGCACCAGATTCAGCAACATCTCACACAAAACAATAATGGAAGCTCATAAGAGACTATGGATTCAGTGTTCCCGGCGGACAACTAAAGTGCCCACTGCCATCATGAACCCAAAAGGAATATTGTGTCTACTTTTAAAATGATGAGGAAAGAGATTCTTCTCGCAGCCAGATCACTTTGTCTGCACGTCCATTTGAGAGGTCCAGAACTTTCTACTCTAGTCTTCATTCTCCTGCCTTTGAAACGTCTGTTTAAGCTGGCGTGTGTGAACCAGAGACCCAGCCAGCAGCTGTCCCTTTAAGTCTAAAGCTCCTACGTCCCGCAGAAGATCCAGGTCAGCACCTCCTCCACCCTCAGGGTCCACAGCTCTGCGCCTCCTCCTAAGGTCATTCTCTCCACTCCTCTTTTCCTCTATATTCTCCTTCAAGTCCCGTCCTCCTTTTTGCTTAGGCATCGGCGGGAGTTCTGCTTCGGGTGCCCCTTGCTCTTTCTTGGCGTCAATGACCTGCTGTAGCTGGTCTAGTCGTTCCTTCTGCTCAAGCATTCTTTTCTCCTTCTCGGCACGTTCCACGATCTCCTTATCCGTCTTCTCTCGCTCCCGTTTTAAACTCTCATCCTCAAGAATTCCCTTGCCCTGCCGCTCACGTCGCGCATCAATGGCCTGTTGCATCTGGTCTAGCCGTTCCTTGTGCACGAGCAATCTTTTCTCCTCCTCGGCACGGCCCATGATCTCTTTATCAATCTTCTCTTGTTCCTGTTTTAACCTCTCTGCTTCAAGCCTTTCCTTCTCTAGCTGTTCCTTTTGCTGCCGCACGCGTTCTAGCTCCTGCTCGCGTGCAAGTTCCTCTCGTCTTTCCCGCTCTTTCCTCTCCTTCTCAACACGGGCCTGCACCTCCATCTCAATCCTTTCCTTATCCAGCTTGTCTTTCTCTATTCTCTCCTTTTCCGCCTCCAGTTGGGCCAGTTTCTGATTCAACCTCTGCTCCTCAGCAAAAGCGTCAGGAATGATTTTGGGTGGTTCTGGTTCTCGTTGCTGCAGCGGAACACCTTGGGCATCGACCTCTGCAGGTACTGCTTCGCCTTGCCCTGCTTGGTTTTTCAGCTCCAGGTCCTTCTTGAGAACTTCAATACCTCCTTCTTGCACTGATTCAAGGGCATTGTGGGGAAGACCGGCTACAACATGAGCCTCTTTTGCTGCTGGGTCCTCAGGAACTGGCTCACCCTGGGGGGCAACTTTAGGCTTCATTGATCCCGCCATCCCTTCCGGCTGCTTCTGCACAACATCCACCTCACCTGCAACCTCTCCTACAAAAGACATGATGTGTTTCATTACTGCACTGCAAGCAAAATCACTTCAGAAGGGAGCACCAATACTGCTCATTCTCTTTTTATTTTTCACTACATGACCAGGGCCACAGATACATTTCAGAAGAGCTGTGTATCACCAGTATTATACCAATGAATGCATTTACATGCACATTCTTAAAGGAGTAGATCACTTTAAAAAATAAATTGCTGATAATTTACTCACCCCCATGTCATCCAAGATGTCCACGTCTTTCTTTCTTCAGTTGAAAAGAAATTAAGGTTTCTGATGAAAACATTCCAGGATTTTCTCCATATAATGGACTTCAATGGGAACCAAACGGTTCAAGGTCCAAATGAGAGTTTCAGTGCAGCTTCAAAGGGCTTTAAACGACAACAGACGATGAATAAGGGTCTTATTTAGGACCCTTCGAGTTGTGACTCGAAAAATGAGTTTGAACAGGAGTTACGAACTCGCGTCGCAGAACAGAGCAAGCCGAGAATTTGTGCTTATAAAATGTAAACTTTGTTATTTATTTTTGAAATGACCGATTGTTTCGCTTGATAAGACCCTTATTTATCGTCTGCCGTTGTTTAAAGCCCGTTGAAGCTGCACTGAAACTCTCATTTGGACCTTGAACCGTTTGGTTCCCATTGAAATGCATTATATGGAGAAAATCCTGGAATGTTTATCAAAAAGTTTAATTTCTTTTCGACTGAAGAAAGAATGATATGGAAATCTTGGATGACATTGGGGTGAGTAAATTATCAGCAGAAGTTTTTTTTAAAAAGTGAACTACTCCTTTAACTAGATTTTGCTTAATAAGCCGGCAATGCACGTGATCGTGTAACCGCATTACACGATCCGTTTTCCTTAATCGGAGTAAGGTCATAAAAGGCTTATGCATAAACCTATCATCACAGCTAGATTTTTGCCCCTTACGGTGATTTCGCCCAGCAGCATATAAACACATTAACCAGTGTTCTGTTGGCTTGCTGAAGTGCGCATGTGTCATACGTGACAGGAACGCATCCAGACAGAGCAATCAGTCAAAAATGGTACAGTCAAAATGCTGCTTCTGTAACTGCACGAGAGGATAAGTTTCCAGCTGACATTGCAATACTCTTTCTAATGCTTTATGCGCTAACCCATGTAAATAACAAATTATTTCAATAAGCTAATTTTTGTGAGTTATCAGCATACTGGTGTGCTTGTAAACGGGATCATTATCTGACTTTTAGAGACTAACCCGCTGCTGCCTTTGGTTCAGCTTCTCCTTCCTTTACTTGATGGACCTCCTCATGTTTTTCCTCCAGGTCCACATGCTTTTTCTGCTGTTCTACTACCTTTGGTTCTTCTTCTCCCTCCTTAATTTGGTGGATCTCTTTATGTTGCTCCTCAATCACCGCCAGAAGTTTTTCCTGTTGGTCCAGAAGCCTTTTCTGCTGTTGTTGCTGCACCTTAATGACCTGCAGCAGCATAGCATGGTCCAACTGACCCTCTGAGGACCAGTCACACAGAAAGGAAAAAGAGAAGAAACAATGACCCAACATGCCTTAAATATACAATAATTCTTAAAAATGTTATTTAAATTTTAAAATCCTTTGAATATAATTACAATGTAATTATCCATGGCCAAACCAATTGTCAGTCTGATAGTTAATCAAATTAAAACTTTATTAATTTTACTTAAGACACTGTTAGTGGTGAATGCCAATACAAAACCTGCCGCCGTGATGTTGTAGTTGGCCTGATAACTTTCCCACTATTTGCTAAGCAATATTCAAAACAAGGTGTTCTGAATCTCAAGCGTATTGTTAAGTTCTTCTAGGTTGTTGCTAGGGTGTTTCTATGCAGTTAGTAGTGCATTGTTAGGTGGCTGCTAGGCGACTGCTGTGTTGTTCTGTGTGATTTTTTTTTTTGGCAGTTGCTAGATAGTTACTAGGGGTGGTTCTATGAATGTGCTAACACATTTCTAGACAATATGGAATTCTAACAAAATCAATATGGAATTCTACCAAATAAACCATTTTCATCATAAAACAAGAGACAGTTGTACTTCCAGGGCTACAGAACACTATACACACATAAGCCACTTTTCCAGCATCGGGCTGAATGGTTCTAAAAACAGTAAGGTCTGGTTCCTGTTGTATTTCCACTTGAGCCTGGTATACAGCACGACATGATTACAAACCGTTCTCGGCCCGGAAATTTCAGCACGGTTGGTCACTTGTCTGTTGCCTGGCTACCAATTTCTCTGTGCACTATTTGAGCAATATAAACACAAGTATAAACGCTATTCTCTCATATCGTCTGTAAACTCTTGTGCTACCTAGGCAATGACTGACGCATTTGTGTTACATTGCGAAGAGCACCACAGTGGAAAATGAAACCATGTCTGTACCGGCTGGCCTGGATCAGCCAAAATGGAACGGTTAAGCAAAAAGAGCGGTTTGGCCCGATGGTGAAAAAGTGGCTGTATATAGAAAACTAGATTAATAATGGTCAATGTGTAAACACAGGTAACAAGACTATTACCTGTTATTAAAAGAATAGCTATTATTAACAGTTAGGACTTAAAAATAATAGCAAAGATGACAGACTGAATGAACGGACAACAGCAGATATAGTACACATCATCTCGTACCTGCAACAATCTTTTTAATCACTGTAGGAGGCAGGAGTCCATGGCACAACAGAATGGTGGAGGAAGGTAAGAAATCGAGAAACAAAAGAGAAAAAGACAGCAGAAAGAGTGCAAAGTGCCTTAATAAAAAAAAAAACAAGCCACGTGAAAGAGACAGATTTAAGATTTGGTGCTTCTTTGCAGTATATCTGAGCATAGCAATGCAATGTGACAGTTCAGATGTCGGCCAGAGAAAATAGAGAAAGTATATCAATTACTTAGAAAAGAAAAAGAGCAAGATAGGTTCACATATCAAATAATTCTTAATAGTGTATGGATTAAAATAAATAAATTTGCTTAATACAATTATCTTGTGTTGGGTAAAGGAGTCATGGGTAGAGTTTATATATAGTGTATATATATATATATATATATATGAAGAGTTCAGATGCAAAAGCCTCTAAATGCCATTTGAAATTTTCTTCTAGAATGATCATTTTTATCAAGCTTGTATATTTAAGTTCAGTGATTTTCACTTAAATGGCAATGATAATTACTTATTGTTATTTAAGTGAAATTACTGAACTTAAATATACAAGTTTGATAAAAATCATCATTAAAGAAGAAAATTTCAAATGGCATTTAGAGGCTTTTGCATCTGAACTCTTCATATATATATGATAGATAGATGAATTATAAAAATTATGAATCTTAGATATAGTGATTGTATAACTAAAACAAGAAAAAGTCCATTATCCATTTCCCACTAAGAAACAAGGGTAGAAACCAACTGGCCAGGAGTTATGAAGGATAACAGAACCAGAAAAAGAGAATGGAAAATTGCAACTGTGAGCTCACACATCTGACTGAACAATAGAACAGGAACCACTATTTTTCAAACTACACTTCCTAAAGCTTATGGACAATGTTCTGTGATGGGTAAAGCACTTACTTTCCATCTTGTCCCCATCTCCATCCTTGTTAGCTCCTCCATCCTTTCCATCAAGAACTTTCTCTTCCTCGTGCTCTTGCACAAGAAGCTTCTCCTTTGCTGAAGGAAGCAGTCAATGAATAAACAAATGTGCCATATAAACAGAATACTACTAAAGAGTTTATCAGTTATGTACGCTAAACAGAAACTAGATGTTTATGAAGATCTAGGAGGTTGCCAAAGAGTTGGTAAGGAGATGCTAATGTGTTCACTCACGTTTCTCATCCTGGGCTTTCTCAATCTCCTCTGGTCTCTTGTCTCTGGCCAATTCATTCTCATCATGCTTTCCATTGACTTCAGGAAGTTTTTCTGGTTCTTTATGTACCACTAAGGACTCAACCTTCTTCAGATCTTCTGGATTTTCTGCCTTGTCCAATAATTTATTAGATGCAGGCTGGCCTTGATTTGCAAACCTTTTCACCACATCTATTTTTTCTTTAGACTCCTCCTCTTTTATAGATTCCTGGCCTAAGTCTTGTGCTTGCCCTGCCCCCTGCACAGCAATAATCTCCTCCTCCTCTCTGGCAGGTAGTTTCTTTTCTTCCTCCACAGCTACAGGTTGTTTCTTTTCATCCTCTAGCTCCTCCTGGTTTTTGATCTCATCTATCTGAACTCCATCATGAGGGATGGGCGGCTCATGGCGGTGGGCTTCCCCTTCTGGGACCGCTACACCTGTAGAAGAGAAGTCATGACTCTTAACTGCTCAGATGTTCATAAACCCAGCAATATTACAAAGCTAAATGCATTACCCGCTTCAGGGCGATCTAGCTGAACCTCTTCCTCCTCATTCTTTCTCTCAGCCACTTCCACAGGTACTTTAATTTGAGGGGGCTCTGCTGCTTTCTCGTCTGCTGGCTGTTCAATCTCTATTGGGGGCCTATCTGGCTTCTCTCCTGGATGAGGATCCACTCCGTTCTCTTGCATTAGAAACAGACAGATGTGCAAAAAACATATAGAAATATTTCAAATTTCTGTGCAAGGTAAAAGGCAAGTCAAAATGATCCCATACCCAAATATATCAACCTATGTCTCTCAGGCTTCACGTGCCCCTGTAGCCCTCAAACCGTATTCACTTTATAGCCCTTAATCCTGTAATTGTGGACAAATGTGGGCACTGAGGACTCGGTGTGATCCTAATTTTTATCTATTATAAATGTTATATCACTGTCTTCGATAAAGTTTTGTCTATCCATTTTATGTTGGGGGTATTTTTGAATTTATTTACTTCAAAACATACCATATTTTCATGTAAATTAAATACATACAATGTAGTTTTATTTTTTAATTTTTTTTAACTACATTAAAATATCATTCCAATAAGTTCTTAGAGCTAAAACCTAAAGATGAAGTGACTTTGCTGTCACCTGGTGTCTTATTTTGGCTTATTTTAGAATGCTCTAAATTACAGTTTGCCCCATTCATTTCTATGGGTGCCCATTTTTTGGCCCAAGTACAAGATTAAGGAGTTTTTTTTTCCAACCCACTTATGTACAATTGATGTCAAAAAATTGTGTGTGTTCAGGAGGAAAACTCCTGAAAAGTAGCCAAGTCTTGTGCCACTCAGATCAAGGGAAGTATTTTTTAAAAATAAATCAAAACTATTTTGCCCACATTTGTCCAGAATACGGTTTTTGGGTTAATGATGGTCTCAATGTTTGTTTTTGGTTATTTGATTGATGATTTCGGACCATGTGAAACTGAAGAATAGAGTACTTGCTGCTGAAAATTCAGGTTTGCCATTACAGGAATAAATACTTTTTTTTTTTTTTTTTATTTCACAAGGAAATTGGCACATTTTACATATTATCATGTATTATTGATGTGTATTCTCCCTGATAAAAAATAAATAAATAAATAAATAAATAAGCAAAATAATATTGCTGTTTTTACTGAATGTTTCACCAAATAAGAGCTGCCTTGGAGAGAACAATAGACTTCTATTATTGGAGAGAATAATAGACTTCAAAAAATTTACAAAATCTTCCAGACCCTACATTTTTTTAATGGTAGTGTATATAGAATTGACGAATTAGAGGGTTTGGTGACATGAGTCAAAAAGTAAAGCCGTTTCAGAGAAAGGTAATACTAAATAATAAACTACTTTTTTCCCCTTTGGAATAGCATTTCACAATAAGACAATAAATGTGTATAAAAAAATAAATAGGGTAAATTTTAATTTGTGCACTTTAACAAGGCTTTTTACAAATGTGAGTCTCTCAAACCTGGCTAAGGCTGAGTACCATTGTCATATACAATATTCACCATAGCCTGAAACTAAAATCTGTGCATGCTTGTCAGCTGCAGCCCACTCTTAAAAATACCAGTAGAGGGCAGCAGAGCATGAAAGACCAACAGGATACGAGCAGAACCGTAAAGATTTCTAATAAGGGTGCGAGATGGATGCTCAGTGCTTTCCATATAACCTTGCCACTCATCCTGTGCAAAACAGCCTTTGAATATTTACAATGTCCACACCTTTCTTTAACAGGAGTGCACTACCAAACAGATAATCTACTGCACACGACAGCATTTATGTATATGCAGAAAGGAGTTACACATTTCAAATGAGAAAGGATAGCAGTCTTGATAAACATTATCTAAGGGAGCGAGACGAGGGGAGTTGAAAAGAAAGAGCGAGCGTACAGTTAAGGGGGTTGGGTGCACTTCCCTACAATCCTGAAAAGCAAAGCGTGCCTGTGTGTACTCGTACAGCTGCAAACGCACACCTCTACATGCCCGCGGGCCCCATGTTCCACTCCCTCGCTGAGCCCTGCGTTTCCATACAGCTGCCCTCAACAGCACGCTGTAAACAGGAAACAGGTGTGGAAGTGGGTGTCCGCTCAATGATAAATGCCAGTGTCAGTCAGCAGGAGGGAGAGGAAGGAGGAGTGGCAGAACAGAATAGGAGAGGTAATGGTGGATGAAGTTGTTGGGACGCTCCTGGTATGTGCCTTTTTACGAGCCTCTGTTCTGTATCAGCCTGTGTTGGAGGGAACACTGTCGTTTCTGCCCTCTCCCAGATTTGGACGCCCTCCCATCTTTCCCCTGACCGGAGCCATAACGGGAAAACGCCACCGGCCGTTTCACTGCTGCTCTGGGACACCGAGCGCTCGGGTTTGAAGGGCGTCATTCAGGTCACTGATTCAAACAGAGGCCTTCTACTGGAGCTATTCATTTGTGCTCCTTCACAATTCTTTTTTCTCATTATAACTCATCTTTTCAGAGCTTCATTTTCTATTTTGTACCATTTTTTTCAACTGATTATAACTCTCTCTCCTTAAATAGAAGGCGTTGATGTTACCTGGTACTTTGGGCAACTCATGGGGTTTGAGGATAGGAAGCTTGTCCTCAGTTCTTGCGGGGACATCCAGAGGGGGGTTTACTTTCTGCGGCTCGTTGGAGGAAATGGATAGCGTGGTGAAGGTGCTGATGAGCAGGATACCGAGACCGACCCACAGAACCAGCTAAAACAGAAAGAGAGGAATGAAGAGACAAAAGAGAGTTAGTGTATATGGTCATCTGAAATACTTCAGTACAAGATTAATGGCGTGATTCAGATTTGTCTTCTTTTTTATTGTCGGGCTCTATTAAATATAATAAAAATACAATTTATACAGACAAGGACTAATGAATTTTAATGCAGAAATTGAAAAAAAATAGTCATCAAAGACATGGTGTGTCTTTGATGACTATTTTTTTTTTCAATTTCTGCATTAAAATTCATTTTGAAATAACTCCTTAGATCATCATGCAAAACGTTTCTATGTGGATAAAAAAAAGGTGGAAATTATCATCACAGTTTTAGAAAGTTTAATATATAAATATCTGTTAAATATTAAATATAAATAGTAGGGCTGTCAAATGATTAATCGCATCCAAAATAAAAGTTTGTGTTTACATAATATATGTGGGTGCACTGTGTATAATTATTTTATATATATATATATATATATATATATAAATACACACACATGCTTGTATATATTTAAGAAATATTTTAATGTATATACTGTATATAGATTTATAAATAATTTATATTATATATAAAAATAAATATTTTATATATTAATAATATTTTTTTCTTAAATATACATGCATGTGTGTGTATTTATATAGAGAAAATAATTATACACAGTGCACGCTCATATATTGTGTAAACACAAACTTTTATTTTGGATGCGATTAATCATTTGACAGCCCTAATAAATAGACAATTTTACCTTTTTTATGCATGTAGTCAAATTACATTACCTCCAAAAAACAAATATAATTAAGACCTGTACACTAACAGGTATTCAATGTATTAGGAAATTATTATAAGTTTTACTTTTTGATTACCCCACTTTATATAAAAAAAAAAACTAAAATAATAAAAACTGGTAAATGAAACGAATAACAAAATATTTTAGAAAAATTAAAATTTGCTAGATCTAGAAAAAGTATGGATGGAATTATTATGCTCGCCCATTCAGAGTTGGCCAGAAATTTAGAAAATTGGTGCGTTAGCTGACCCGAATGTTTGCGATTGTGGGTGTTTGATCCACATCTTTCATCTCTGGAATGCGTTTCATGTTAGTCCTCATGTTTGTAGTGCACCTAACATACTTCACTTTGACTTTACACAGCTTGCATTTTGCATGCACCTTGTCAAGCTTCCCCTAGAGATGATAAAATCAAAAGTTTGTTCAAGTGCTTGACCTCACTGAAAATGGGAAGGATGAATTCGTTTCCCCCCTCCTTTGCTCAAGGATACTCCACTTCTGATGTGCGTCCTGCTCATGGCGTGAGGTGTGTGCTCTCTAAACTGTCCCAGTGCAGCAGCACCGCTCCGCTCAATACACAAAGCTGGCAAGGGTATCGTTGGCATCCGATCTACAATAATGTCCTACAGTCATTAATGGTGCCCCAAACGCTGATGAAATCTATTAAAGCAGGCCCTTTCCAGTTTCACTGCCCCTGATCTGTGGGTATTCTTTGTGCAGCAGTGGACCTGGACATGTCAGGCTGCTTGGCATGAGACATGGAAGACTGGCATTTTACACTCACGCCAACATAAACATCTGCTGCGCTCATTACGACAAGAAGCTCTTTTGGAATGATCCTCGCCCCAATATCAGAAATGCCACCCATTTGGGTGAACTCCAGCGTTTGGGAAGTGACCCTCATGGGCATGGAAGTGTGGCATGGTTGGCACAAGAGAACAATGGACATCAGTATGTTGGCTGCTCGCAATCCACACAATGCAAGAGAGGTGAGGTTACACTTCATCTAAGATGAGACCTCAGTTGTTTTCACTGTGTTGTGTGAGAGAGGAAAGGCATCTGTAATTTGGGCGGGAGACGGAGGGGGCACAGCTCGAGGCACAGAGCCAGACAGTGCCAGCACACACACTGTGAGTAACTCCACACAGCAAGTCAATGAACTTGCAGGATATCAAAATTAATGACAAACTCCATTACAAAGAGAGAAGAACAGCTGCCTTTCTTCCTTACACGCAATCCCTATTTCAGCTCAGATTTCACACAGGCAAAAATTTGATGTTGGTAAGATTTTTCGAAAGATGTCTTGAATTGGTCAACATGGCAGCATTTGATAAAAAATGTAGTCATATTGTGAAATATTAAAAGGAATTTAAAATAACCATTTCATATTTTAATATATACAGTATATATATATATCATATGGGTAAAAAAAATGTACGTTGGGTGTGCCGTACCTGTGCAGTCCAGACGTTCTTCATGATCTTCTTGTAGATGAGAGCTGGGCAGATGAAGCAGATCAGACTGCCCATAGTGGCTCCAGTCAGACCCAGGATGGTCTCCACTATGGCACAAAAACACATACGGACATTTATTTCATAGAATCATTCTGTAATCATAAAAATGTGAGTGCACTACTAATTAAGAATCTAAAAACATAAAAAAATATATCATACTACATAACCAATATTGTAATTTGGTAGTAATTTAATAATTTCCCTCTAAAATATGATTGGACAAGTCATATTTGAAGCTGTAAAATCGCCCATGCACACACCACTTGCATTCTATATTAATGTATTGAGTTGCTTTTCAAAGGTAATGATAATAAGGTATATTATTTGAAATAATTTATTTGTGTAAGTATTTTGCAATTAAGAATTGTAATTATAAAGATGTTAAATATTAGTTTTTAGTATTATAGTACTTTAGTACTTTGTATTGTTCATTACATTTTCTATAAACTTTCAAATGTTACAAATGGCTTCTAGAATTTCTGGTCGTGCACCTAAAAATTTTCTCTTTTTTACAACAATAACATTTTTTTTTGAAAACATGTTATTCAAACAAATTCAAGAATAATTTAAGATAAGAGTCTTTAAAAAAAAACAAAAACATAACATATACACTATCATTCAAAAGACTGAGGTCAGATTCAGAAAGATTTTGATTTTTGATTTTAAAGAAGTCGCTTATGCTCACCAAGATTTGACAAAAAATATCAAGTAAAAACACTAATATTGTGAAATATTACTACATTATAAAATATCTCTTTTTATTTTAATATACTTTCAAATGCAACTTATTCTTAATTTATTCAGTGTCACATGATCCTTCAGAAATCATTCTTATATGCTGGTTTGGTGCTCAAGAAACAGTTCTTGTTATTATCAATATTGAAAACAGTTGTGCAGCTGAATATTTTTGTGGACACTGTTACACATTGTCTTTCAACATTCTTTGATAAAAATAAAGTTCAAAAGAACAGCATTTATTCAAAGTATAAATCTTTTGTAGCATTATAAATGCCTATACAGTCATTCTGGATTAATTGAATGCATCCTTGCTGCATGAAAGTAAATATTTTTTCTTAAATAGTGTAAATATAAAACCTATATCATATTTCTAAAAATACAGTCTGAAATAACTTAATATAAAATTGTAATTTTATCTGATTCTTGTTTAATATTATCTGACCCACAGTGTAAGTGATATAACACCACCCTTTAACAGTTGTACAAATCACTGTAAATTTCTTTAGTATATAAACCAAAATACAACAGAGAGCTGTTCTAACTCAGTGTAAAAATCCATTCCACCTGCACTATATTCAGACCCACCATGCGGAGGCAGTTTAAAGCGGAAAGAAATGGCACAGGCAATCTACACCACCTCATCTCCTGAATCACCACATCCATCCTCCATCAGTCTTTCTCCCCGGACCGTTCCATCAGACACCCCCCCCCCCCCCCCCCATCCCTCTATCTGCCTCCTACCATCCTTCCTCCATGTTGCCCTTGTGATGCAAGGCTGGGCAGTGGGCCCAGGGGGTATTTTTCTTCCTGAGAGCAGCCATATTGTTTTACTCAAATTTATGCCCTGCAACGTCTGCTTCTCTATGGTTGGATTTGTGGCCGTGAGGACACGCCGGTGGCCAGCGGAGCCGTCATGGAGGACAGAGCTATGCCTTTCCCCCATTCAATCGTCTCTGCGAGTCTCACCTTCCCCTCTCTATTAGTCTAATTGGGCCCACTGAGCCAAATGGAGCCCGCACCAGCGACAGCCAATCTCCATGAAGAATGAATAAAACATGGCCCTCCCCACCATCGCCTAAAACACACATCTTTATCATCCTGTTCCATTGATAATGAATGGACGGTACCAAGTGATTGACGGAGAGATACTTTAAAAGGGAAGATGAAGTAGGGTGTGATGTCATGAAGGTATTAGGGAGAGTGAAACTTGAGAAACGTGAGCACACAGACACTTACCATTAGGAATGAGGATGCCGCCCAACATGGTGCCAAAAACAATGCAAAGAGTGATGCTCTTGAAACGAAGGGGTGGCATATACCCACCTGCGGCGAAGGTGCCATCCTTTTGCTAAAAAACAGAGACAAACAGAGCACCTTCACTAGAAGCTACTAAATTCCAGACATGCATGTAGTCCTCCAAGCCTCTGTTATGGTTGAACAAGTAAAATGCATGTAAGGGTATTGGGTTTGGCATGCAAGCTTCATAAACCCCCCTGTGCTCAGTTGTCAAAATGCCAGATTTAACGACAGCATAAAACCCTTCGTCCGACCGCGAATCCAGCCGTGATTTGAGCTGATTCAGCGTGGCAGAGATGGTGAGACAGCGAGCTGAAATCTTGGCTGCTTTATGGAGGAGATCTGGACCTGTTCTCATCAATCCAGCCCCTTTTATTTCCTCTGAAATCTCTCAGTGCCCCAGCAGTCTGCTGTCCGTGGAGGCTGGATCTCTGGTGTCTGAGTAGTGGAAGGAGACTCGAGGAATCTCAAGGGATCCATACCGAGGGACAGAGCATGCAAAATGCATGCTGACTGAGACCAGACTTGGGGTCTGACATCAGCCCTGCGTAAATCTGTTAGACTCAATGAAGTCTTTATGGAGTCCATTAAATTTAGCAAAATACTTTTGCAGCTGGTGCAGTTTATGTGCATCAGTAAGGAGGAGACACCTGAGTTTGTCCAGACGGTGCAAGGTAAAGAATTGTAAATGTGGGCCAAGATTTTTGGCATTTTTTAAAAAAGGGGATACATATTGAGGGTTAATTTGGTGTGGATAAAATGGGGTGTCTTTGTTGATATGTCCAACCAGTCACAATACACATCCCTTTTAACAGTTCTTTCTCAATTCTCCTTCAAAATAGGTCAAAACAAATTTACAGAAAGCAGGAAAACAATGAAGTGCTGGGGTTAGAAAAGGGGTCATCAAACTGGGGTCTGGGGAGGGTTGGGTATTAAACGAAAATAAGAAATGTTTCCTTGGCAATAAACTGAAATTGAAGCACTAAAATGATAAATAACTAAACAACTGAAATAAAAAATAAATTAAATAGCAATATTTAAAAAAATTCAAAATGACAAACTAAAATTTTTAAAACATTTAACTAAAATTTACATTTTTAGTTAAGCTTTTATTTTTATATGTTTAGTTAATAAAAAAATGAATAAAATTATAATAAAAACTAAAACCCACAAGGGGGTTAAGTATAAGTTTAATTAGATAAATAAATTCATTAAAATAATAAATAAAGTAATTAAATAAAAGTAATTATTTTACATAATAAACCAAATTTTACAAAATAGAACATTTCCATATAATATTATAAATGTATATATAATATTACATTATACAACACATTATATTTTAGAGTATACTTTTTTGTTATTCATGAAAGTAAATTGCTGTCTTTATGTTTTAGGAAGGTGGTCGGTCACAAGGGAAACATCATTTTGAGGAGGTCCATGGCATCAAAAAAATAAAAATAATAAACCTGTCTTTGTAAGACTGTTACCTGCTGCTCGAAAAGCATTGTGTTGATGGCCTGTCTGCAGGGCAGGATCATCATGGGGAAGCCCACAGCCACAGACATCATAAAGCCCACACGGATCATCTCCGTTACCAGGTTCGATGGAAAGTTCATCAGGACGTTCCCAGCAATGTTGTCTGTGAAGCTCACATAACCGAAGAACCCCACCTGGAGGAACAGGGTATGAAGTACAATTCGATTTGAGACTTATGAAAGACAAATTTGCATAACAGACAGAACAAAAAACAAGAAACAGCATTCAGTAGTGATCCAATGAAAAATTAGGCAAAATTAATGTAGTGTAGGACTTTTGTTCATCAGGATTAGATTGGAGAGGACATTTTTTACATTAAAATCATCTTGCATCATGTGTGAGAAATTATTTTGTGATATATTAATGATCATGTTGGCACAGTCCAAGCTTCACTGCAGTTTTTCAATTTAAAAAGATGAATCGTCATACTGGAGTAATGTTTGTTTGGAGGCAAGAAAGGAGAAGAATTCGGTTACATTGACTTTCCACTTCAGTGTGTGAAGTGTATAATTTCATATGGGGTCACTTCTTGATCCTTCTTGAAATGATCAGGACTAAAACTTCTTATGGCATTATAAAGAAGCAGCCTAACAGAGATCCATGTCTCTTTCTGTGTCTCTTTGATGACCTCACAACCCCTCCTGACTGTGCAATGATATTGTTTTTATGCAATGAAAAATAGCGAGCTGCTTTTCAAAGGTCTTTAAAGCCTAAGGCCCTCTCTACAGAGAAACAAAGCAGTGCTTTCCCTCCTTTCCCGACCTTGCTGGCCTTGATCTATCCGCAGAGGAAAAGGTTCCCTTCAGTAGCAACACCAGGCAGAAGTCCTTGAGTCTGCCACAAAACTCCCTCTCTATTCTATTCCACAAACCCTCCCCTGAATCAATTCAGCTTTTGTTCAAAGAGAAAAAAGCAAAAAGATGATGAAATATAAAAGCAGAATACAAAGAACACAGTAAAAAAAAAAATCACGAGCAATATTATCTCTCAAGGTAACGTTTATACTTTAGCTTTCAGAGAAGAGAATAGGGAGCAGAAACATTCTGACGATGTCTTAAAACACATTCCACACAAAGTGGCCCTGAAAATATTTATGAAGGAATAAAAGAGACAAGGCATTTGATGTTGATGGAGCATGTCATAGTATGAGGGTTATAGAGGAACGTGCCAGTGGGTCTGACCCCATCGTCCGAGTTCTTTCTCTTCCTCTAAGCTCCAAATGGGAATTGGAAGGATTTTCCAGGGTATCAGCGTGAACCCAAACCCCACAAAAGGGGAAGGGCAATCACCTGTAGGGGACGGATATGGATCTAAAAGCAAGAACGTGAGCCGACAGCAACTCTACCATTCTTGAATCCTAATTTCTTTCCTGTGTCTGAGGGCACAGGTTCCCAGGAGCCAATAAGGACAGAGCAGCAAATGTTACAAGTTTATATAATTGCTAGTCTGTATAAACAAAAATGCATGCTATACACTACCGTTCAAATGTTTGGGGTCAGTAAGATTTTATGTTTTTGAAATCTGCTCACTAAGGCTGCATTTATTTGATCAAAAACACAGTAAAACAGTAATAATTGTGAAATATTAAAAATGTTCTATTTTAATATATTTGAAGAGTCTCATGATTTAACAGAAATTCTTCTAATATGCTGATTTGCTGCTTAAAGAAGATTTCATATTATTATCAATGTAGAAACCGTTCTGCCACTTAATATTTTTGTGGAAAACATGATATATTTTTCAGGATAAAAGTTGTAACTAATCGATACCCTTTCAAATGACTGAAAAACATATGACACGACTATCCGATGTGTATGATGTTTTACTGATTCCTAATGTTATTTATGAAATAAGATTATAATAAGTATGGAATAGGGCACTTCTCATTTGTCAGAAAATGAATAAGCTGTTTAGTTAATCACTCCAGAAAAGGTTAAAACAGAAGAAAAGGCTCAAATACAAAAACAAAATGGCTATTGTTTTGGCCTCACACACTTACTGTGATGTAGAAGGTGGTGACCACGTTGAGGGAAGAGGTGAATATTGTGCTCATTCTCTTCACCGAGGGCTCATCCAGGCTGTCGTAAGTGGGTAATACTTGCCTATGGAAGAAAAAAACCTTTTTAAATACATCAGGTTCAAAATGCATACGTTGAAGTGGGTCAATACAAGTTAAGACTGACCTACTGTTGATTACCACAGACAAAAATTCAGTTGGAAATCATATTTTTCTATTAGGTTTATATTAACGTTTATATTAGCTCTTTCCAAAATGTCCGTTATTTGAACTGTAAAGACGTCTAAATCATTATTTAATAGTGCTCCAGGTGGAAGAACATTTGGTTGTGCATAACTGATGTAATTATTGTGTGTGAATTTTTACAAATTATAATTTTTTTTTTCGTCTTTGCAAATATCATGTCAATGTTATGGGGTCTACAAGTTTTAAATGGACTGATGTTTTTTTTTTTTTTTATGTTTTTACAAAATGAGGTAATCTACAGCACGTCACTGATAAATTCTTGCATCAAACCCAAAGCATTCCTTTAAAAAGAAAAATCACAAAACTAAAGGACACATTATTATAACAGATGCAGAATTTTTGAAATGTCAGATTTATAGTAGTAACGTTATGACAAAATACAACAAATATAACATTATGCGAAATCACATAAATGCTTATTTATGGGTTAACTCAAACTGACCAGTCACAGTATAATCATCATTATTTAGCATAAGGACATACTGAACTGTGCATTTGAGCTCTAGAGACACAAACATGCAAGAGAGCAAGGGAAGCAGGAATTTAATATAGAAAGGCCATCACTTATTTCAGACATACAAAAGACAAAATGGAGGGAGGGTGGGAAGGAGGGAGAGCCGAATTGGATGAAACGAGCACTGATAAAGGGTTCAGTATCACAGAGAAACAAAAAAACTGCTACAAAAAGAGCAGGAAAAAAATCTGTCTGTCATCAGGACAACTAATAAAACCAGACGCCAGCAAAACATTAAATGGGGAATTTACAACGGCTATATATTATCGACAAGTGCTAGTCAGACTTTAGCATGTTATAAAATTTCCTGGCAGTATGGGCTTTTGTTCGGGCTCTCTTGCTCTCAGCCCACTCACAGCTCTTGTAGACACAGTCGGAGCCCATTCCTGCTTTTATTGGGATATACAGTACCACGTTCTGGGCTTTTTAAGCCAACGCCTGATCTCACACCAAAGGCCAGTCTGTCTCATAGCAGGAACCCACTCGCAATAAAAACCAGAGAAGGAGGAGAGAGAGACATCTATGTAGACTTACACATTTTATGTGTATTTTTTTCATGTATTCATTACAGTATTTGCAACACAGCAGTGTTATGATATTGGTCAAACATTCCCTTTTTTTGATAGGAGAAATTAATACTTTTTACTCAACAAGGATGCATTAAATCAGCACTATGTAGTTTTTTTTTTTACCTTAACTGAATAACTTCTGAGTTACTGCAATGGTTATATGACTATTTTCGGGTTGAATGTTGGGCGTTTATCAAGTGACAGTAAAGACATTTATAAATGTTAAAAAGATTTCTATTTAAAATAAATGCTGTTTTTGTTTTACTTTCTATTCATCAGAGAATCCTAAAATTTTAACCTAAAATAGTAAGCATCACAACTGTTTTCAACATTGATAATAATGTTTCTCCAGCACTAAATCAGCATATTACAATGATTACTTAATGATCATGTGACTAATTCAGCTTTGCCATCACAATAATAATTCTGTTTTAAAATATATTAAAATAGAAAACAGTTTTTACTTATTTATTGCAAATAAATGAATGCTTATAAGAGATTTCTTTCAAAAACATTTAAAATCTTACCGACCCCAAACTTTTGAAAATGAATCAATGTTGTCTCGTCATTGTAAAATTTGCATTCTGCATAGTCTCGAGGAAGACAAAAAACGTGATCTAAATGTGGCATAATTGAGAATTTGTGTTTTGAGGCCAGTAAATGCTTCCTTTGTTTCTCCTTAGAAATACTTATTAACTGACACCACTTAGAAGCCAATGGTTGATTCTCATATACTGACAAAAAAACAGTCACATAGAGTCTCATGACAACAAGATGTGTAACACGTGATGCGCAATTTACCCAGAACCCAAATCTAAAATCTGACTTTATTTTTTAAAAATGCAAGCCCTGTTTTTTCCTTCAGGAATGCAAATACAGTTATATAATTCAGTAAGTTTTAATCTCTCAAGTCCTTCCAATCCTTCCGAATGCTTTTTCACAATATCTTTCATGTTGCCAATATAGTTCAAATTGAATTGAGAGAGAGAGAGAGAGTGAGAGAAAGAAATAAAAGGGGGGCATATGTTACTAGCATGGCCAATCAAATTCTTTTACATCCATGGCATCGACACAAACTGGAATTCAGACACATAACTATAGAATTATATAGATTTGTAGAATTCAGTGTCATAAGAAAGAGAGAAAAGACCCCAGAAAAGCCATTTGATTAAATTTCAGTGTGTGTGAAGGGGGAAGATCGGTGATGCCACAGTCCCACTGCAATTTCTCAACACCTCTACCAACTGTTGACACATTAATTACTTTGTAATACTACTAAAATGATTCCGTCATAACACCTAAAGCTGTGAATCTGTGTCTTGATGCTGTGTAAGCTGACATGACAATTTTATGATAGGAATAACACTATTATGGTGTTTACACATTACAGAGGTATTTGCACATTAAGCAGGAGCCGTATAAGGCCACCAGTGGACCCAGAATGCTTCTCTTCAATAAACAGTATCTGTTCTGGAAGTCAAAAGAGCAAACAAGTCAACTTTTCTCTAATGATTTAATTTGGCATCAAACAGTGCTTGCACTAAATGTACTAAAGTAATAAATGTAAATGGATGGATAAATGTAGGCGATGACAGGAACTGTTTGTGGTCGGATCAGAGGTCATGTAGCACTGTCTCGCTCTTCTAATGATCGGGGGTGTAAGTGGCATTGTATGTCAATGCTGGCCAAGAAGTCACAGCCAAATATCACTCATCACCCTTCAGAGAAAGAGAGAGAGTGTATGTGTGTGTGTGTGTAAAGGGAGAGTTACAGTCAGCCTCAAGAACCACATTACCTCATCCACACCAGAATCCAACACTGACACCTCCTCCACCCCAACACCCTTACTCTCAAAAACACACACACGATTTGTACTGGCATCCGCACACTTAGACACCTCAATTCTATTCACATCCATTCACATCCACACAAACATGTGCCATGTTACAGATAACAGAAGGAACCGTATATGTATAGGCCTATATGTATGTGTGATATGCATTTCTATAAAGTTACTTTTTTTCACGAATTGCTGTTTTTGTCCGAGCTTTTTTTTTTTTTTATCTCAAAAACATTTACAAAATTTGGCAGAACCCAAACTTTTGAACAGTAATGTTTAAATATAAACATTTATATGTAGTAATATCATTACATTAATGTAGTTTTTTTACATCCCTGGATGATAACCATGTGTACTGGATGTTGATAGTTGATAACCATGTGTATTGTAGAGATTTTATTCAGTATAATGTGGATAAAAAAAAACTACAATAATGATCTGCACAATAAAAAAGAGAAGGAACTGGGAGTGGAAGATGAATGGACATAGCGTGGTGAATGGTGTTAATGTTGTGAAACATTAAAAACAGAAAGTGAGTGAGTAAATGAGTGAGTGAGTGAGTGAGTCCCTGCCCAAGCTTGAGAATACCTGATCGGGTAAACACTGAGATTACACACCCCCCTTTCATGGTTAGTATATTTGAGCTAGCGGAAAAGAAAGAATAGAGACATGAAATTAGTTCAAGACAGAGAAAAATAATGTGAATTATTATCGATATGCATAAACACAGGACAAATGTCTCCCAGCATTATCAAACCAGCTGTAACAATGTTAATTACGATCACAACATTAGTCAATGGTACTCCCACAACACATCAGAGTTTCAACATAATACAAACAAAGACTGTGTCAGTGCACCGGTCACGGTGAACTCCTTATGGAAAAACTATGAAAAACTCATCATTTATGCTTGTATCAAACTGCACTTACAGTTCAACTGTATGCGGATCTGTCAAGATGTCAACTGACCGAAAATATTAAGACGGCCTTGTGGGTCTTTTATTCCAAAGAAAACCGAAGCTATTCAAACATGTTCATGGTAAGCAATAGTTCACTCACAACTGAAAAGCATTCTGCCATTATTCACTCACTCGTTGTTCCAAACCTGTATGACTTTCTTCCTTTTTTTTTCATTTGCAGATGTGCGAAAGATTTAAAAACTTAACTGTTGGTCTTTTCCTCCATGAAAGACATAATGTCATACAGATTTGCAACGACATGATGGCAATTAAATGATGACAGATTTTTCCTTTTTGGTTCAACTATGCCTTTAAGGAACAGAGTTAGTGTTAAGAATAGGGTAAAAACAGTATGCAGAAGGCAATCCACGCAGATTAGAGCCACACAATTTCTCAGATATTTGATAAAGAATATAGTAATGATAAGCTAAGCAGCTTCAAAGGTCCATTTTCTCAAAGCAAACTCTTGTTAGATGCATCGACTCTTGAATGTTCTTTTGCACCATTAAAATGGAGCCTAACTGGCGACAGAGAGGACGGAAGAGGCAGTGCGAGGATCGGGGAGTACTTACGACTGACAGGCAAATGCCATGCCACAGATAGGGATGCAGCGAAAGACGCCCTCCCACCGAACGTAAATGACCTTGCTCAGCCACTGGCCAGTGAGGAGGCCGTGTTTGAAGGAGGAGAGCACCATCTGTGGTGGAGGGGAGAGCAGGAGGGTTACAGAACATCCCAGAAAGAAGGGAGGGTGGGGAAGATGAGGAGGGCAGTGATGATGCTGCGATTAAACCCTTGAACTGAATACAAAGAGTTCATGGAGAAAGTTCAAGTTAAAGACTTCACCCTAAAATTTAAATTCTGTCACCTTTTACTCACCCTCATGTCGTTTCAAACCAGTATGATGTTATTTTGGAACACAAAATGAGAAATGATGGACACTTTGGCTTTTACATTTTAAAGGTTAAAAAAGTGATTGATAACTATTTTTCAAGTATTTTAAAACTACAATACTCAAAAAGCTTCTTATGCTCAACAAAGCTACATTTATTGGATCAAAAATACAGTAAAAGCAGAAATATTGTGGAATAGTATTGCAATTTGTTTTCTATTTGAATATATTTTAAAATGTCATTTATTCCTGTGATGGAAAAACAGAATTTTTAGCAGCAATTACTCAGGTAACATTTCATATTATTTTCAAGTTCATATTTTTGTGGAAACCGTGATACAGTTTCATTCACAATAACGTTTATTTGAAAAATAATTTTTAAAAAGCCCTTTATTATCACTTTTGGTCAATTTAATGCATCCTTGATGAATAAAAGTATTCATTTCTTTTTAAAAATATCTTACTGACCCCAAACTGCTTCTCACACAAAGCTATCACACGGGTTCAGAACAGCGCATTAGTTGTATGGACCACTTTTATGGTTTTTCCATCCTTTTAGAAGCTTAAAAACATCAAAACAGCGCAGACTTATTCCTTTTATCATGGAAGAAAGAAAGTAATCAGATTTAGAACAATATTATGGTGAGTAAATCATTACAGAATTTTCATTTTTGAGTGAGCTATTCTTTAAGGGGAGAAACAAAAAAAAATGTATTGAAACAACTAAAGGTGCAACAAATTGTACGGATCAAAACACACATGACTTTCAATACGAGTTCATCTCTAAAGAACAGGAAAACGTTCTACTTTCATGCAGAACAGTCTTGAAGGATAAAATCTGATTGCTGCACACGTTTGCAGAAAACATTCGCAGCAACTTTCAAAATCAAAAGCGCCAGCCCGTGTAACCATCAGGATCACCACCAATCCCAACCCTATCAGATCCGCTTACCCAGTCAGAGTGTATAAATCAAGCGGGAATATATCAGGGGACTCTGGGTATTACCAAAGAGTCAAGACAACTCTGACGACCCACAATTCATGAATTCTGCCTCGAACGCACTAACCTCTCACACACAAATAAAGACACAAACAAAAATACCCGGAACCAGACAGCGCCGACAAACAGAGCTTTGGATTGGATGAAGGTGGACAGAGGAGGAAGGGGGTTTTGGGTAATGTAGCTGAATCCATGACCATGGCAGTGGAGTGGTCCATTCTCTGGGGCAGATTACTTACGGGTGGCAGCAGAAGGTGGTGGCGATTATTGGCAGACACTGTATGACACCCTTGAAGCGCCACAGATGGACTTGCTCCACCCAGGAGCCACTGATTATTCCGTAACGCAGAGACGACAACACTATCTATAGGCCGGAGCATCAGATGGTCAGTCAGAAGTCAGCATCAGGAATGGGGGCGGGGCAGAGGTTGAGATGGGGGCAGAGGGAAGACACATAATTGGTTAAATGCTAGACTAATAAATTAGGTTGGGGGGGATACACCGTGGAGCTGGATAAAAGGTATTTAAACTGTTGAGGTGATTACACTGTGATGCAATAGACTAGAAAACTCCAGGAACATCCACGTTTGCAATATCAGTGTTACAGACCATTTTGCAAGATGTAAACAACACTGGTCCAGAAGCACTTCCTGTTTCAGTTTTTTAACACTACATAAAAGCTGGGATAAAATACAACCAACAGAACATATAAAACTGAATCAAAAAGTTAAACAAACATCTTTAAGATGTTTTCTTTACATGTGAAATAAAGAAAACAGTTACAAACTGAAACAGGAAGTGTTTCTGGACCAGTGTTGTTTACATCTTGCAAAATGGTCTATAAAATATTCAGATTACATAAAGTTGGGTCAAAAATTTTGATATCAGGACCTTTAGTAACCATTAGTGCTTCTATGTTGTGAGGAAAATACCTTTTTGTCATTTTATTATAACAAATGAAATTATCAACACATTTCAAGTGAAATCCTGCATAAAACCTGAACCTGAACTTCAATGGAAGAAAGAACGTCTGACCATATTTACAAAAAGGTTGATCAATACACATTTATGATCAATAAAATAATTTATCATCAATATTACATTTAATTACTGACCTATAATGCAGAATCTTCTTTCTTATTCATTTTAAGGTAATTTGTTTTACATTTCTCAAAAGTATACGTACAGTTTAAATTACAGAATTTCAATATGATCACAGCAATTATACACTGTATATAACTCGAAACTTTTTACATTGAATGTTCATCGAATTTGATTTAAAAACTGTTCTCAACCGGTTGTATAATGTTCTGGGACGGCTGACTTTAGTACTTTAAGAGCTTATGCTTCACTTTTAAGCTTCCAAAAAATCCACAGGTATTGAAGTCCTGCTGCCATGGTGATGCATACTCACATTGTATTCACTAAAATCAGCCAATTGCCACATTGAACTTCTCAAAAGAAACATACATTTTTAATTAAAAAAAAAAGCTATAAATGAATTTCACACATACTTAATACACTACATCATTAAAGTGACTTTCAAAAACATTTCCTTAAAGCAACCATAATAAGCAGCTGTAATTTGAAGTTCTTACACTTTACAATCCTTTTTATGATTTTTATGAGAAATCAAGATCAAATAACTCCTTTACTTCCTCTTGTCAATTCGATATATATATATATATATATATATATATATATACTGTATATATATATATATATATATATATATATTCATATATACACACTCACCTAAAGGATTATCAGGAACACCATACTAATACTGTGTTTGACCCCCTTACGCCTTCAAAACTGCCTTAATTCTAGGTGGTATTGATTCAACAAGGTGCTGAAAGCATTCTTTAGAAATGTTGGCCCATATTGATTGGAAAGCATCTTGCAGTTGATGGAGATTTGTGGGATGCACATCCAGGGCACAAAGCTCCCGTTCCACCACATCCCAAAGATGCTCTATTGGGTTGAGACCTGGTGACTGTGGGGGCCATTTTAGTACAGTGAACTCATTGTCATGTCCAAGCAATGTTCTTTGTGACATGATGCATTATCCTGCTGGAAGTAGCCATCAGAGGAAGGGTACATGGTGGCCATAAAGGGATGGACATGGTCAGAAACAATGCTCAGATAGGCCGTGGCATTTAAACAACGCCCAATTGGCACTAAGTGGCCTAAAGTGTGCCAAGAAAACATCCCCCACACCATTGGGTAAGGCATGGCACCATTGCACAGAGGTAAGGAATGATGGATCCATGTTCTCATTCGGTTTACGCCAAATTCTGACTCTACCATCTGAATGTCTCAACAGAAATCGAGACTCATCAGACCAGACAACATTTTTCCAGTCTTCAACGGTCCAATTTTGGTGAGCTCTTGCAAATTGTAGCCTCTTTTTCCTATTTGTAGTGGAGATGAGTGGTACCCGGTGGGGTCTTCTGCTGTTGTAGCCCATCCGCCTCAAGGTTATGCGTGTTGTGGCTTCACAAATGCTTTGCTGCACACCCCGGTTGTAACGAGTGGTTATTTCAGTCAAAGTTGCTCTTCTATCAGCTTGAATCAGTCGGCCCATTCTCCTCTGACCTCTAGCATCAACAAGGCATTTTCGCCTACAGGACTGCCATATACTGGATGTTTTTCCTTTTTCAAACTATTCTTTGTAAACCCTAGAAATGGTTGTGTGTGAAAATCCCAGTAACTGAGCAGATTGTGAAATACTCAGACCGGCCTGTCTGGCACCAACTACCACGCCACGCTCTGAAGCAACTGCCATGTGATTGGTTGATTAGATAATTGCATTAATGAGAAATTGAACAGGTGTTCCTAATAATCCTTTAGGTGAGTGAAATATATATATATATATATATATATATATATACAGTATATATATATACAGTATATATATATATATATATATATTTATTCTGATGAGATCTGATATTACATTTTACAGGGTTGGAGTTTGGAACGGTGGAAAGGGGAACGACTCACCGTGAACATGAAGAGTGTGTAGAAGATCAGTGCCATGGCTGAGAATGACTGGATGGATGACATCATGTTTCTCTGCAAGCTGAGAGGTAGTACGACTAACAGCGAGACTGAGATCAGTAACACGATACGGAAGCTACGTGTCACCTGAAAAAGCAAAAGGAAAAGCAGTTACTGGCAACAGTCAGGGCAACCAAACCGTAAATATATATAAAATGAAATTACTAGTGATGGACCGATATTATGTTTTTTGATGGCAAATGGCGATATCTTAGAGAGCAGGGTGGTCGAAGGCCAATATAAGGTTGATATATCATTCGACCAGTAGTAAGATATATTCATGGCCAGTAATATTTCTCAATTCACCTGGTGTGATAACATGTGATAAAAAAAACATTTTCACACAGAAACTGTGATCTAATCTACTCTAGAGTAATAAAAAGTCTATGAAGTGTTCTGTTTTTATTAGCTCAGCACTTTTTATAGATAGCGGCCTTTGAATTTATCATTACAGGAGGATTGTGAACAAGGGCAATGATCAGTTCAGGGAACGTCGTATCAACAATTGATTGATTTTGAAGTAGCAACAGGAGTTTAACTAATTTTAGTAGAAAGGTTATTTCTCACCTGCAGCCCAAGTAGCTGAGCAAAGAAGTTGGACCCCAGATCTGCGATGACGACATAGAAAGCAATGCATGTCCCCAGCATGAGTCCAATCATGCTGAAAAGAGAGAGAAGATAAGTAGAAAATACAAATAATTAGACCTTACTTCATTTATGAGGCTGAAGCTAAAAAAGTTAAATCTCCACAAAAGCATCTTACCTCAATTCCACAAGTGCTTTGCCTGGTTTTCCATAAGCATGAAAAGCTGGAAAGGAAGATATAGAGAGAAAAAGTTTGGCAAATTCCAAAACCAAAATCAAAAAATGAAGTTTCTTCCAAAAGTGTCTTGTAAAAGTAATTTTATTATTATTATTATTTTTCTCCCCTTATGACAATAAATGTTGTACAAACACTGCTGTGTCAGGAGATCTTTCAATCTGCGTTAGCGATGATGAGTTGTAGGTTTAGCTTTTGTGAAACTATATCAATTAAAAGGCCTATATCTATTAAAATTAAAACTATATCAATTAAAATTATTAATATTATTATTATTTTTCTCCCCTTATGACAATAAATGTTGTACAAACACTGCTGTGTCAGGAGATCTTTCAATCTGCATTAGCGATGATGAGTTGTAGGTTTAGCTTTTGTGAAACTATATCAATTAAAAGGCCTATTTTGTTTGATTCACTTGCATTGATAAAGTTAGGTATTTTGTTTTAGTTGCCATTTCAAACTTTGTAAATGCATTTCATTTCATGATAGTTTAATAATGTTTAATAATCTCCTAATTTTCAGCAAAGAAGTAAATTAAGTAAAATAAAAGCCTAAATTCAATCAGTTCATCATATAAAACGATCGAGTGAGTCTCTACAGGAAATTTGGACTAAACCACTCATATGGATTTGTTTTACAATCTCTTAATGAACCTTTAGAAGTGTCAAAGTGCTAGTTGCATAATTGTTTATGGAGGGACAGAACGCTCTTTTTTCATCAAAAATATCTTCATCTGTGTTTCTGAAGATGAACAAAAGTCTTATGGGTTTGGAACCACATGAGGGTGAGTAATTAATGACAGAATTTTTGAATGAATGAACTATCCCTTTAACTGAATTATTCCACAGTAATCAACACGTAGGACATTCTAAAACATTGTTATTTGGTAAATGATGGAAAATGAATGCAACCTCTGTGTGTTTGTTGATTTTGTTCACTCTCACCTAGTCCAGCATAAGTCCTGCGTTTGGTGTTACTAGCTGAGTGGACTAGAAACATGCAGGACTGGTGGGTCATCCACGAACAGAAGAACAACAACAATGTGCCCAACACAATTCCGCACTGCAGAGAGAATGAAAAAGAAAAATTTCTATAATAGATAGATGATAGATGAACACATTCCTACATGTTTAAAATCAAAGTCACATGGTTACACTGATTCCTGTACTGATACAAAATAGTGTGGACAAACTAAAATTGCAGCTTATCAATTTCTGATTCGCTCAGCTTACAGATTATTAACCAGCAAAGTTGTGTGTAAACCACAGTAAGTGCATTTGGCAGACCTAATCAAATGGAATCCTCCTATCAGCAAACAAAACTGCACAGCACAATTTTCCATAACCCCTTTAACCATGTGTTTACCTGTTTGAAGCAGAAGGGCATCGTCAAGACACTCACACCCACAATGCTGTTTACAACGTTCATGATCAGACCCGAATTTGAAGCAGTCATTTTTGGCTCTCAGACAGCTGAGATCTCTAATGTCCAGACGGGTACGTGTGGTGATTCTACACTGCCTTAAGGTTTAATTAAGATAAGTGGGTTGACACAGATGTCCTTTAACTATTCGCTATGATGCTCTGTGGAGACACAGAAGAAAACAGAGACATCAGCATTATCACATTCACCCTTACTGATTTTGAGAGATTAAATAAATTCCTTACTTATTCAGAATTCATTTTTATCCTGTATGGCAGAAGAATAATATGCAAACAGTTTCTTAAACAGTAATCAATGCAAATCAAAGCATATATATACAAATGTTATACTAATAAACTAATATACTTTAATAAATTATATACTATATACTAATAAAAACAACTCTATACAAATAATCTCTGAAATCTAGAAAAGATGTTAAAATTTAGAAGAGATTCCCTTCCATGCTAAAGGAAAGCAGATCATCACATTATGACACCTGGAATACTTTGAATAAATGTTTCTATTGTTGGTCTACAGACAAGTTCAACTAACCTGATTCCTTGAAAACATTAACAATGGCATCTATCTAATTGCTGCACTGATTACAAACAGCAAGTGTAATTGTCAAATGTGTTTTTGGTTTGCTTGCCATATGGCAACAGTTGTGTTGTCAGAAGCACTTTGAGTATCTTTAAGCAACTCATGGAACATGTTGATTGGTTATTTTTGTAGGAAGATTTTGTTGGGGGGTCAGTTTACAATAAAATGACAAATGGCAGAATGTCTGCATAGAGTATACACAAAAAATATGCAGTATTTGCGTTTATCTTAAATCAGTGGAGAAAATAAACACTTCAGTCTAGCAGATTAATATTAAGAGTTCACGTGACAGTTTGTATAACACTGAGGGAATACTATAACGTTACAGTAACACATAGTTGTTCTATAGGAACGATATATCAAATTTACCAATTTAATATGCTATTTATCTTGCAACAATTAACATTTCTCATAACTAACCACATTAACAGTCCAGAAAGTTTCCCATCACAGAACTGAGGATGCTATAAAAAAGCTTGTTTACATACCACGTCCACACTTTTCCAATCAGTCATTCATTTCTATGTCACCATCGGTCCATAACTGTTTTAAAACAAATATGAAAAAACGTCCGGTGATATCTATGCCGTCTGAATAAAGTTAAAAGGGAGTCAGCAAATATTTAGAAAGATATTTCCCGAAATAGGCACAAAAAAGTTGTTTCCACAATCTGTAACCAGGAAGTACCGTACGCGCAGTGCTGCCAGTGTGGCGTTCCCAAAGACACTAGTGCGCCTTGCTGCCTCCGGTGGCCAGGAGTGGAGGTACATGTTGCCTACAGCGTAAGTCAGATTCACTTTCATTTGACAAATATAACTGAAATTGTAAATTGACGGTTTGTTCGTTTGGTTTTTAAAAGTAACCAACACCTGCAATATCTCTGAGTCCCGCAATGCTTTACTTTGACACGCGGTGTGTAGGTTTTATGCATGCAGAGATCACATCAATGGCTCTGTCTGTCAACAGCACCTACACAGACGAAACACGGTGTTGTTTCATTTGGACAGAGATTTGGGCAGGAAAGGGAAACAGGAACTGGGGATGTTGATCTGCAACAGGAGCTCCGCGGATTCCGGGCAACATAGGCTTCTTTTCTGTTGCTAGTGTTTTTGGAGGAGAGATTGGGGACCAGCGTGCCCCAGATAGGCATATGCTCTCCTGGGAGGGGATTTTAGTGTGTTGTTTTAGGGGGCTGGTTTTAGGTAGGAGACAGGAAAAGTCTGGCTATTGTGTACCATTGGCCTTCGAACCTAACTGACAAGTCAGCCTATTGGCCCGAGGGTCTTGTCACTCCACACCTAATCCCTGAAGATTGGAATTAGGCCCAAGCAGCAGAAGGGGAGACTGTGGGCAGATTGCTGGGCAGATTTGGCAGCGGGGGGAGAGAGATTCTGTAGCCAGCGAGAAATTAGACACAGGCACCCGATTGAACCGCTGACCTCCAGGGGAAACCCCTGGTCAGCGCCAGGTCACGGGAGCACAAAGCGGGGCGATGAACTGCAAGAGGTCAAGCATGCATGCAGCTGAAAGAGAGCCTTTGTGAGCTCAGGCATGCACAAAATTTCCCATCAGCCACCAAAGTCACAGGCTCCTCAGGAAGCCAAGGAAGGGGGATGAAACCTGGCGACGGAGTGTTGCAGCGCTTTATGTGTGTATGTGTGTGTGCAAGTGACCTCAGAAAGGACACACACAGACTGCGGCTGTAATCACATTTAATTACACATCAACCAGTCTTGAATGAGGTTTTTAATGCAAACTCTCCCTGCACACAAAAAGACTGACATGTGCAGCTAAACATTGCCTACCTTTGTCCTCCTAAAATCTATTAAAGCCCTCTCTATTAACCATCAGCTTTGCTAAAGGCTGCAGATAACGACCATTATGTTGATAATAGTGAATAAAAGGGACAAAAGATGTTTTTTTGTGCAATGAGAATGGTATGCCTCAATCAACCGTTCAACCAAAGGTCGGACCTATTTATAATGGGAGCCTGGTTGAAATTAAGGACTGATTCAGCAAAAGAAACAAATACCTGTTCCTGTGCCAATAATCTGTCAACGCTTGTAGTCACCAATCAATGGTTTACTAAGGATTCTAAACAGCAGTGTCACCTGTTTTAATATGATTTGCTAAAGCAAATCATGAGTTTCAAATCTATTTCAAATTCATGTTGGTGTGTTTTAAATTCAGAACTGAATTGAAAAAAAATTCAAATTCAACTGACTTTGCAATGAAGTAGCAAAAAGGATGCAGATTTGCAATTTGAATTTTAATCAGTACAATTCAAATGAATTGATTTTTTTTTAAATCAAATGTTGTTGGTTTAAAATGGCAACATTTAAAATATTGTTTGAAAGTTTTGAAAAAAGTTTTAAAAATCATTGAAGTTTGTTTAGATAGATAGATAGATACTTAAATTTTTGAATGTTAAGACAACTGGTTTTCTTACATTTTTTTTAAGTTGCCAGCTGATCACTTTTTACATTATAGAAGTAGATATTTTTAATAAATTAATTTATATGTAATAAATTAGTTTTAGGGTGGGACAACGCTTAATTTCCCAAAATGCATGTGTTGAATTTCAATTCAGTAAATTAGGCTTCCTGTCATTCCTGTAGATGTGCGATTGAAAGGGAACCAATTCTTCAGTACTGAATTTGTCATAATCCTGTTGATAAAGTAAATAAAATAACAAAAAGCACAAACACTGAATTAATTGACTAAATAGTTAAACCCATCATATATATGAAGAGTTCAGATGCAAAAGCCTCTAAGTGCCATTTGAAATTTTCTTCTAGAATGATCATTTTTATCAAGCTTAAGTTCAGTGATTTCACTTAAATGGCAATGATAATTACCTATTAATTGTTATTTAAGTGAAATTACTTAACTTAAATATACAAGTTTGATAAAAATCATCATTAAAGAAGAACATTTCAAATGGCATGTAGAGGCTTTTGCATCTGAACTCTTCATATATAGGCTACTGTGTATTTAGTGTATATTGTTTTACCAAATGCCAAATTCAAGATTGCAGGTGACAGTTTAAGAATTCATCATTGAGGAAAATATCAGGGAAGACGTGACCCCTTCAATGTCTTTGGTGGTTACAACTCCGCTTTAGGGAGAACATTTGGGAGATGACACAGAATATTAGCTGGTGCTTGAAAACAGTGTTCATTGTTTCATGGATATTTCTTGTTAAATAAGCAGAACACGGCCTCAGACACATCGGCGCGTCACTGCGTGGGGGTCAGCAACATTGCTGGGAATTTTTCCCGCAGTAACACATGCACAGGCAGCTCTTTGGCATGTGCATGTGGACAGTAAAAGTGTCAGAATGACATTTACACCATTAGAACGACTAAATCTCTCTACGTTACAGATACTGCTATTACGACTTGGGGCGAAGCTCTCTCAAACACACTCAAACACACAAGATGGCAATTGTGAAGGGAAAAACTGTGCATTCAGTATTTACTTGGCCTGACAGCTGTAATTTCGGTTTTCACACAGCTTAAAGATAGGGGGTAATTAAAGTGAGAATGTTTTCCTTTCAGATTAGTTGTCCTGTCCATTTATCAGTTGTCTGACCACATGTGTACAGACGCTGGTTGCCTGTGAAGCACTCACTGAAAGTCAGTCTTTCAGAAAGAGCGCCAAATTGTCTTTCCCCATTAAAAACTGCTCTCCACCCAAACATGGTGAGAGTCTCGGCTTGAGAGGTGGCTATTTTACAGGCCTAAGACATTCCTCTGCCTCGTTCCTTCCGTCTTTTTCTGCACCCGACCCATCCCTCCCCCCGTGACTGCCAACTACAGTAGCGTCTATTGGTACAACTCAATCAGCTCTTCATGTTGAATTGGGCTTAACTAACCCCTCTCAAACACCCATGAAATAGCAGCGAAAAAAACTTGTCATAAATCTTTACACAAGAAAAAAAAAACACCTCAGACTCATAAAAAAGGAGGGTGACAAGAGTTGCGCTGATGGGCTGATCTGTGTAGCCTCTCCTCTCAAAGTTATGCACAGCCATCCTCATACAAGCCCGCCATATATCAGCCACGGGGGATGCAGGGCCAGTCAATGGCCAGGCCTGTTACATGCGACGGGCACAGAAAGGGCCCCTGAGTAGGCTCCCGTCGAGCTCCTCTAATTAAAATCCTTTTTTGAGACATTTTTATGTGCGAATGCCGACACTTGACTGATTTTTTGATATACGGTCTTGGTAGGTGGGTCTGTGCGGACTCTGAGAAAGAAGGCACCTCATTTCTGTGTGGCAGTGGGGAGTGATTGAGCTGGTTTTAGGTTTCTGTAAAACTAACGGATCATTTAGGACTTGCTTGATGAAAGTGAATTCTAAATATAATATATTACTCCATAAATGCTTTGATTTGGCCTCAGTTTACACAAGCAACGGCCACCGCATGCCTCTGGAAATATTTCTATTCCACTTTCGGGTCTCTCTATAATTCTTTGAGAGATCTGTGTCGGCCGTTTCTCACTAATTATATCCCTCATGGTAAAAAGAGAGGAGACAGTGGCAGCTCAGTGCCTTAAAAGAGAAAAGCATAGATCATAGATCTTTTTTTTGTGGACCCTCCCTCTTCTGCCCCTCCCACTGAAACACAGCCAATCGCAGGCACAGTGCTCAGACCAGATGCGTGGCTCACAGCTGCTGAGGAATTAGTGGGGTACAGCATTGCTCCCCTAACATTACTAATGAATCTCTTTTAGATGACTTTCATGGCTTCACATGCAGCAAGTGAGCTACCCAGCCCCTGCCCTCTGATTGACCCCATCCCTGGCCACGTATATTCCTCACAGTGACTGAGGGGGACAGATGGGGTACAGGAATACCCCCCTTTCCTCACCCGTTTTCACTCTTTCGAATAATCCCCACCCCCCTTTTTATGGACCATGACCCCATAATCTCTCTCTCTCTTCTCCATCAACAGTGTATAGCTTTATAAGGCTCCTCTCTTCCAGGGAAGTGAATGTGTGCTGCATATTATAGAGAATCTTTTGAAATGTTGTCATTTATTATTGAGGAGATGTTCCTATAGCCACTTTTCAGACATTATATCTTATTATTATATTACCAAACATATTTTACATGGCAAATATATATTTTCAAAAATTGCATTACACAATACATTTTACAAAAAAATGATCTGGTGGAATGATCTGAGTTATGGAGGCAATTGGCTTTATGGCTCTACTTCCTGAACTTCAGCCAGCTCCTTGTTTCCTGTCTACCATTATTGGACAAACTGATTAATCCAGGTGTGTCTGATTATTTTTGCCGTGACTGCTGAGGTCAGACACACCTGAATTGATCAATTTGTCCAATAATGGCAGACAGGAAACAAGTAGCTGGCTGAAGTTCAGGAAGAAGTGCAGCTGTGCATAAAGACAATTCTTACTGCTTTAATGTGTATTATGTCAGTTTACTTTGACAATAGGCTACTTGTCAAACAATGCTATAATATTAAGATAAATACAAAAAGTGTATAACTCTTTCTGCATGTAAATAGTATCGATACGCCTTTAGGTGGCAGCAGGTGTCTGGTTTTTGGAATCATTCATTCAGCCGATTTGTTCATTAAGCTGATTCATTGAAAAATAGACACAAATGACTTAATGAATACGGAATCGCATACTATTCTTTATTTATTTATTTATTTATTTTTAACATA